ATAGTATTGTATAAACCCCTGGATATCTGGGTTGCACCTTCAAGATACCTTATGTAGTCATGTCTGGTGATTAATGTTTTTTTCTTCTTACTAGCATGCTGCTGATGAGAAGTACAACTTTGAGAACCTTTCACAGTCAACAACTTTAAACATACAGCCTCTCCTTCAGTGAGTAAGCAAAACTTATCATTTCCATCTGTTATTTTGGTACATTGAACTCATTCAGTACCTATTAAATGGTAGGGTGTTTTGTGGTTTGTATTCAGAATGTTGAAATCAGGTTTATTATTACCTTTTGTTATGTATCTCTGGTACTGTATATCTGATTGTATTCAAATACAGACCACTGAGACTTGACCTATCACCAGAGGAAGAAGTTATCGTTTCTATGAACATGAGCACTATCAGGTATTACATTTATTGCGTATTACAACTCAGTTCTGTCTACTACCTTCGGTCACAAATATTTGACTGACATTTAGGACAAGATTTTTCAAACTTTTGAAATTCTGACATTGATAATTTCTCAAATGCTTAGTGTAAAAACAAAAGAAATGGTGTACGCAGATTTGCCTCAAAAAGTACTACTATCATAATACCATAAACTTATTAGATTTTATGAACCTATTCTAGTCATATAAAATTGACGGTTGGAATATAAAAAGTTTAACCAAATCTTGTCCTTAGCATCAAATATTATGACCAGAGGAAGTAATTAACATGTCGGTCAGTCAATTGTTTCCCACTTAGTGCATAACACCTGGAATCATGCACGATTTGTTTTTTTCTCACTCAACAATACTCCCTCCATCCCAAAATATAAGGCACAACTACCACTAACGCATAAACCCAATGGGATCACTCCAATAAATACAATGCATGCACCCAATGGGATTAGAGATTTTAAGGGTGGGTGATTTTTTTTTTAAAAAAAAAGAAATAAAGAGGAGAGGGATGTGCTAGTTAATTGCATGCATGCATGCATATGCATGCCTAATATTATGAAACATCGAAAAAAAGGTGGTTGTGCCTTATATTATGAATGGAGTGAGTAGTTGATAATTAAGAGTGAGCAAAGCTTTACTTGCTATTTTTTTTATCTGTCAGAAAGAACGGTTTTGTTTTAGCAGAAGATCTGCATGCTTCACCTTGCAACCGCTATTTTATAAAAGCCGTTCCCTTCAGCAAGAATATTACATTTGGTGCTCAAGGTATCACTTATTCTCATGTCTGAAATGTACATTTTTATGTGCGTTGAAAAGTGGTTTAATTCTAATTTCCCTTGATTTAGATGTGAAGGAGTTAATCTCCATGCTTGCTGACAGTCAAGGTGACTGTTCAATAATCAGCAGTTACAAGCTCGACAGAACTGATTCTATTTGTCCTTCAAGGGTTCGTGCTATGTTGGCTTCGAGGGCTTGCCGAATGTCTACCATGATAGGTGATCCATTGACAAAAACTGAGATGAAGAAGGTAACCACAGATCAAATTGTTTTTTAAGGATAATTTTTGGAGTAAATTAGCTTTCGATGAAGTAACCTCCAAATGAGCTCCTATAAAAGAAGTGCAAACCTTGTATGGTTTCTGTCTATTCAGAAATTTAATGTCATGATTTAGTTGTGATCAGTGCTCACTACTCCCTAGAAACAATTATTCCTTTATATTTAAGAACCTAACTCAATGAAGCCCTCTTGCATTTGCACTCCAGATACTTAAGAATCTAACTCGATGGAGCATTTTTCTTTTGCACTTCAGATACTTAAGAATTTGACAGGATTGAGGTCCCCTTGGAATTGCCCTCATGGGAGGCCAACAATGCGCCATCTAGCAGATCTCCATGCTATAAAAACTGAAGGTAAGAGATTGTCGGCCAACACTCATATTCTCTAGTTTACATGCTTGTATATGTCTCATCTATATCTGAAGAAAAAGAGTGAAGTTTTCTTGTTTCATTGCAACTCCAAGTAGTTCGAGTCATTATCATCTGCAAATGTATTGTTCTAAGTTCTAAACATTGTAGACAAGGTTGTATCAGATCATCACTGTTGTAATTTCTTGAATAAACAAACCACTCTTCTATTTTTTCACTGAAACAACAAGATTGAAATGTGTTGCCAAGTTCATTGTGTTACAAAAACCTTCTAGTGTAAAAAAAACCCCACTAGGTTTCAGAAATTACGTCAGTCAGAAGCTCACAATCGTTTCTGTATTTTTTGCGTTCTATTCTTTTTTTTTTCACAAAAAGTGGCATGATTAATACTCTTAAGGATTTTAGTGGCAACTCCCTTGAATTATCCAGTTTACAGATCTCATTTCAGTGTTGCAAAATCTCGCAGGATCGAAGGCAACTTTCTCATGATGTCTGGCAGAGTTTAGGTTGGGTTTATGATGGATGCTCTTGCCTTTGCGCTGCTACCATTCCAAGGAAATTAGGCGCTCCATGGCCAACATTCCTTGATGTGTATAGATGCCAGTCTCTCCCACCTGTTTGAGAGCCTGTGTGACCTATTCGTGTACTAACTTACATATGTGATACATACATGACATGCGTGATAGTGGAGAACCTTGTTTCTAAGCCTTCGAAATGGGATGCATCTCCTTGCCCACTAGAATCCTTTTGCTCGGAGACTAATGCCGGAAGCGAAATACTCCAACACCTTTGCAAGGATGACGAGCAACAAAGGTGACATCAGGTTATCAGGGAAAGCTATCTGGGGAAACATAAACTGATGCATGTGCTTACCTTTATTGTGTGGTTAAAATCCAGACAAGATGTAACTTAGGTACTTGTGTTGAAAATGCCTCGAGTTTCTGAGTTGTATGCAACAAAGCTCTTGGCTGTATTTAGTTGCAGGCTTGCATTTTTAACGCCTTACCTTATCTATAAACAGTAGACACTTGCTCTCAGGGTATGGATTACCCTGTGCTATTTATATTATCTTTTTGAGCCTGGAACGGCTGGTAGATCATAGAGAAAATGTTGTTGGAATCAGATGCCGGAAATTGGCTCTGCTGTCCCTAGATCATACAGAGAGATGAGCAGACTAGTCACTGCTCTGGTTGTTTCGTTTGCTTTGCATAGAAGCTACTACAATACTGTAGCCGTAAGCAACGTTGCAGTACAGCTTTCCTGCGCTGAAGAAACTACTAGACTGTTTACATCCGTAGCATAAATTCTGCAGATAATTTTGTCTCTTGTTGAGCTCACTCCAGCAGTCTAGCTTACTGATATTTGATCCAGGAATTCTGTCCCTGAGTTGACTTTAGTTTATTTCACCGTTCTAGAAACTGGCGATAAGTATAAGGCCCTCTTTGTTTGTTTAGGATTATAAGCCAACTTATAAGTCAAAAAGTCTAAGACTAAATAAACAAGCAGCTTTTTTGTTTGGCTTTTTTAAGCCATAAGCCACTCTTACACTATTAAGCCAAAAGCTAGGTTGGAGAAGCTTTTTTGGCTTATATAAGATAGATGTATGACTCCACCACTAAACTTAGGACATTAAATTTACTGGCTTATAAATCATATAAGCCAATAAACTGACTTAAAAGTCTAAGCCAATAAGTCTAAGCCTAAATAAAGAGAGCCTAAGAGCCTTTTTGGTTCCCATATTACCTAATAAGTCAAAACGGTTTATTATGAAAAAAATAAATTATAGATAAAACTTTATATATTTCCTCGTAAGCAAATGCTAAAAGGAAATTACGTTAGAAATATCTTAAATTCAATTTTAAAAATTCAAATTCTGACTTTTGTTTGACTTATTACGTCAATTGATGGGGCTCCAGAGGTTTGAGTACTAGCAGTACACTGTTTTTCTAGCTTTGGATAGAGAAACCTTGAGCTTCATAACAGCGTGATGCCTTTTGCAGCTTTCTTAGCGACATCTTTACGAAGTTGCTTGATTCCAATCACAAAAACGATAGAGCCATAATGTTATAAAACCTCCTAAATTTCAAAGACTACCTATTTATTTATGCAACAATTTTAATCCCTCGTACCAAAATTTTGCCCTTTTTTTCCCTCTAAAACCTCTTAGTATATTTTTAAGGTAAAATAGCATACGGGAAATAAATATTGCTTATGTGTTCTTTTGTGTTGAATAAAATGAAACAATAAATGAATGATTTGTGAAATTATTCGAATGTGCAAATGAACGAAATCAACTATTACTAAGTTAAAAAGAATATGTTCTAAAAAGGTTTTTCAAGACCTGGAAAGTTTTTTTATTTTTAAATAGGAGTTCACGAAACATGCATACACACTCGTCTCAAAAATAAGTTTATTTTTCACTCCTCCTACACATATCAATATAAAACAAAAAAATCAGGATACAGTCACTTTCTCAAATCCCAAAATATAGTTATTACTCTCTTTATCTATTGCCAATACATTTTTTACTTTTACAAACTGATACATAATGATTAAAAAAAACTTAATTTACTACATATTGGGGAGCAAAAATGAACTTATTTAAAAAATAACGCATTGAAAAAACATAAGGTGTATATATAATCTATGGGCATGTTTAGTTGGTAAAATGAAAATTTTTTGGTGTCACATCGGACGTTTGACCGGATGTCTGAAGGGGTTTTCGGACACGAATGAAAACACTAATTTCATAACTCGCCTGGAAACCGTGAGACGAATCTTTTAAGCCTAATTAATCCGTCATTAGCACATGTGGGTTACTGTAGCACTTATGGCTAATCATGGCCTAATTAGGCTCAAAAGATTCGTCTCGCAATTTACATGCAAATTGTGCAATTAATTTTTCTTTTTATTTAATGCTTCATATATGTATCCAAGGATTTGATGTGATGTTTTTTTGAAAAATTTTCGGGGAACTAAACAGGCCCTATATATTCATCCGTTAGGTAGAAAAGACACAGGTGAATTTCTACACAGTTCCAACACGCATTAAAAGAAAAACAAAGAAAGAAAGAAGAAAAAAACCGGCCATTCTTGTAGTACCTCTCCAAGAGCTTCTTCGGTTCTTCCTCCCGTGTGCCACCCGCTTGCCCCTTCACCGCGCCACACGTACACTAACCAACACCGGCCAGGATCCGACGCGACGCCTTTGGAAACTGGAATATCCCCCCACCCGTAACCGTCTCCTCCCCAGCTCCAACCATTTCTCCCGTCCTCCTCCTCCTCCGCCCCGACCTCGCTCGCCCGCCCGCCCGCCTCCGCCTCCGCCAATGGCGACCTCCACGCGGGCGTTGCTCCTCCTCCCCCTCCTCCTCCTCTTCCTCCTCTCCCGCTCCCTCTCCCTCCGCGCCGATCCCGGCGCCGCCGTGTCCAGGATCGCCTTCGGCTCCTGCGCCAACCAGAGCGCGCCCCAGGTGCTCGACGAAATGCGCCCCCCCTTCGCCACCCTGATCTCGGATCAATGATCTGATGGGATTTGTGTCTGTGTGTGTGTGTGTGTGTGCGTGCAGCCCGTGTGGGAGGCCGTCGTGGGGTTCGACCCGCAGGTGTTCATCTGGCTCGGGGACAACGTGTACGGCGACAACAAGAGGCCGTTCCGGGTGTTCGGGAGGGAGAGGACGGTGGGGCCGTGGAGGAACGTGCCGCGGTTCTACCCGTCGACGGAGGCCGAGCTGCGGAGGCGCTACGAGATGGCCAAGGCCAAGCCCGGGTACGCCAAGCTCAGGGAGAGGGCTCAGGTGAGAGCTTGTGCAAGACTCGCTGCCGCTCTTTCTTTGTTTTTTGTTTTTTTTTTGCTGCATTGGTAATTGCGCGTTGAAACCTCGAGCTTTGTGTCTGGTGCTCGTGATGACATGTGGGATCTTGTCACCGGTGTTTTACAAACAAGTATAGGTGCTCATTTCTCCCATGAGTCCACGTCCTTGATCATACAGGCGCAGGAGAATTAATGAATCACTTCCATGCTAGAAAGGATCATAAGATCCAACTGAGGATGAATGGCAAACAAGAGTGCTTGTTCATTTTGTTACTTTTATCATGTTTGGGACAGTTTCTGTATCATCCAAACTGAGATTTTGCGACATTGTTATCATTTCCAATTTTAACAGCTCCTCTTTTAAAAATTTAGTGGTTGGAAACACTATGTCAATATCATATCATTCACTAAATTTTGCAGGTTATTGGAACATGGGATGATCACGATTATGGACTGAATGATGCAGGAAAAGAGTTTGGTGGGAAGGTGACCTCTCAAAGGCTTCTATTAGATTTTCTGGATGAAGCTGAAGATAGTTCACGGTATGTACTTGGGAATATTTGAACTGATTTTTATTTTCCTAATGTTCATTTGTTATGTTGTCATTTATTTATATTATTGTATTCTAAAATTGCCTTTATTCTTCTTATTGTGTTAAATTTCTTTCTTTCTTTTTTGTTTTTTTTTCCACAACATATATGAACATACCTGTGTAGGTTCTACGGTCTGAATACATAGTTGTAAACCATCAGAAATCTCATAGCGCTCTCTTTCTTGTTTATTTAGGAGGCAGCAAGCTGGTGTTTATGCCTCCTACATGTTTGGCCCTGAAGGAAAACGGGTAAAGGTAAAGTTATATCGTGTCCAATTTTTTCTGCCAATTTTGTTTTTCTTGGAAACCCCTTGTTCAAGCAAGCATCCCCATGCATGAATGTATCAGTTCTCCTTTCCATATGTGGCATGTTCCCCTGTTAACCTTATGATTTGCAACCATGTTACATATCAATCTCCTAGATCACACTGTGAATTCTGCACTTGCCATTCTTGTTCTGGATTACAAAGTGCCCTGTGCTGCAACTTCTTGTTAATCAGTAGTCTTTGGTTTGTTGTTTCAGCTCCTTAAATGGAATTCATAGCATCTTTTAAAATGTGGTAGTATGTGATATCAAGGTTTACAGCAACTTGGTACTATGTGAATACTGAATACAGATGTATATTGTGTCTAGTTGATATTTGTTTTCCTATACATACAGATTTAATGTTGGGTGAAACTATTCAGTTCAAATCCATATAGTGACGCACCACAACAAATATATAACTAGTACATGAGTTGAGAAGTTTCACCCATTTGCAGAACTGGTTGCAGGCACTGCTCCATTGTTACTTTACATGTATTAAAAGATAGCCATACATTACTATAGGTAATTCTGTTGGACACCAGATATCACAGAGACCCTCTATCAAGTGATGGAGCTGTACTGGGAGATCCTCAGTGGCAATGGCTGGAGAGGGAACTGCATGGTCCTCGATCAGAGATCACCATCATTGGATCTTCAATACAAGTAAGATATTGTCTGCCTTGTCCTAATTGAAAGAGCGGATCTAGAATACTGGCTAAAAAATGGATCTGCCAGAGAACAATGAGTAATCATAGTGAATGCCATAAACTAACATCATACATAAAGAAAACTGGCAATATGATAAAACTTGTTATCTTGTCTGGGGTTTGCAAACATAGCCAGCTGTCCATCTTGGACAATTTCGTGGCAGATGATAGTATCCCAATTCCCAGCTAAAGTTATGTATCATTTGTTACATAGATAATTTTTGATAAAATCTTCGATCTATAGTTGCTTTCGATTGAATAGTTGTAACAATACTATTTTTCACCTCTTTGTATTTATGTTTTGCCTTTGATTCTTCATCTTGCATGTGATAGAATTGTTTCAAAATAATACAATTTTCTTCCTATGCACTGCAGGTAATATCAAATCTATCTGCCACCACTGGACCTTTGTTCTATGTGGAGTCATGGGCACGCTTTCCAAGGGAAAGAGAACGACTGTTCAGACTGATCGATAGCAGTAAGGTTGCTTACTTTACTTTCCTATGCAGACAAGCTATTCCTTGATTCTAATCTTTACTGAAAACTCAGTTCTCCTTTACCTGTGCTAAAGTAAAATTCATTGATTTAGTAGTAGCTGGCGTACTTCCTGCATTATTTTTAGAAACATTTTTTTATCAACAATTCACAATATATGGCCTATGTAGAATGCGAAAAGAAAAAAAAATTCTCCTGGCAAGCAGGTGCCCTTTTCTTGTAATACACTGTGAAGTTTAGTTACCTTTTCTCTTCTATATAGCTGTGTTAAATTTTTTTCTTTTTGCGATCTATCAATAGACAATACTCCCTCCGTCCCAGATTATAGGACGGCCTCTTTTCAAGGAAAATCAAAATCGGTAAATTTTGACTAACAATCATACTAACCATATATATGCTAAGTATTATGCATGTTATATCACTAGATTTATATTTTAAAGTACTTTCATGTGATGCTAATTTCATATTATTTCATATTCGTTAGGAAAATAACATGGCATAAATTAATGGTCGAAGTATGTCATTGAAGACCGTGTAAAAAAATAGGCCTTGTAATTTGGGACAGAGGGAGTATCATCTAAAATGGATACTTATCTTATGCATTTGTTATTTCTATGGAACATATGTTGACTTTGTGCAGAGAAATGGAGTGTTTTTTATCAGCGGTGATGTTCATTTTGGAGAAATTTCTCGTTATGACTGTGGAGCTCAATATCCATTGTATGATATTACCTCAAGTGGTCTTACCCAATCTGTTGAGAATTCCGTGCCATCAGTATTTCAACCACTTATGAGACTTGTGGCTTTGTTGACACCAACTACCTTGCGAGTCTTTAGCCCTAACTGTCGTTACAAATCATGCACATATGGTAAGCTTTCCTTTCTTCGAAACAAATAACTGAATAAGTATCAAGAGGGCAGATTTACCCATGAGCATAATAATGTGTCCATCTAATTTATTTCTTCTGTATTTGATCTCACGTGTATTACTTTATCAATTGGTGTTTTGCTGTTGCATTTATCAGGTCAACCAAACTTTGGAGCAATCGAAATAGATTGGAATGCAGTGCCTCCCCAGATTAAACTCGAACTAAGAGATGTAGAGGGAAACTCTGTTGGTGGTGTGGAGTTTCCTATATCTGAACTGGATCCATCAAAAGCACATGCCATTACAAAACAAGGGCATTCGTACCAACGGCATTGCGCTCTCGAAACAGAGCTTCCATGGCTAGTGTGGCACCGTCTTGCTCTGTTGTTGTTTGGTACAATTGCTGGTATGCTGTCTATATCTATCTCAAACTTTTCAGACATCTCTTTTCTTCATACTCCCTCCGTTTCAGGTTATAAGACTTTCTAGCATTGCCCACATTTATATAGATGTTAATGAATCTAGGCACACATATATGTCTAGATTCATTAACATATATATAAATGTGGGCAATGCTAGAAAGTCTTATAATATGAAACGGATGAAGTACATAACAATTGCTCTTGAAATCATCCAGTTTCACGGTCTATTTACGAATTATTTTTGTGAGATCTAGTTTGTGTTGATATATTTCTTGTTTTTTTTTTGTTCTGTAGTTCTTGTCATAGCCGTGGTGTTGCTAGGAATTACCTGCTTATCAGCTGCTAATATTTTCACCAAGAAATCCAAGATGGAATAGCCATAAGGTACAGAGGACAGAAGCAGACACTTCAGTCTAACTACAGATGGAAAAGCTGATCACACCGTCCATGGACGTTCCAGTGCCTAGAACAACCATGAGATTTCAATACCAATATAACCCATTGCGCAGCCTGTTACGCATCACAAGTTTTATGAATGTAACTAACAATCTGTATACGTGTATAGCATGTTTAGAAATTTCTCATGTCAATTTCGTTGCTTTATGGTGAATAGGATGACTGTTGTCTATTCTCTGACCCCTCTTACATCATTGAAGTAGGCTCCGTTTGAACATGCATCTGTTTCTGTTTGAACATTGAAGATCATTCGTTTTGTCCGTTTAGAAAGACATGAAAGAGCTGGTAGCCTGGCATGTCGTCCGGCTTCAAATCTCAAATCCCATAGTGATGTCTATTATCGTCTTCTGCGAAAGTGGAGAACCGAAAGTGTGGAACACGTTATCATGTCGTAACAGACAGAAGCAGCCTTTGCTCGCTGACTTGTGCTCGTCTGCATTTGGAGCACACGGATTCAGTGCCCAGACAGCGAGTGCTAACTGGTCAGTACGCGGCGCCAATAAGGCTGTGTTTAGATATAAAGTTTGGATCTAAACTTCAGTTCTTTTCCATCACATTAATCTGTCATACACACATAATTTTTCAGTCACATCATCTTCAATTTCAACCAAAATCCAAACTTTACACTGAACTAAACACAGCCTAATTCGGTTCATTCGCCCGCGACAGAGCACATCATCAAGTCGATGCCGTGGACACCCATCACTCTCCATCAGACGACGTGAACAAACCGGCGACGGCACCACGCACGCGCAGGGCCGTATGGCGGCGAAGATCCCGGTGATCGACCTGCGGCTCGCCGGCGAGGCGCCCGGCGAGGCCGCGCGGCTGCGCGACGCGGCGCGGCGCCTGGGCTGCTTCCGCGTGTCGGGCCACGGCGTGCCGCGGGAGCTCCAGGCCGGCATGAGGGCCGCCGTGCGCGCCCTGTTCGACCTCCCCGGCGACGCCAAGCGCCGCAACGCCGACGTCATCCACGGCAGCGGCTACATGGCGCCGAGCGCCGCCAACCCGCTGTACGAGGCGTTCGGCCTCTACGACGCCGCGTCCCCCGCCGACGTCGACGCCTTCTGTTCCTGCCTCGACGCGCCGCCGCACGCCAGGTAGGTAATTTCCGTCGCAGACAGTGTAGTTGTGGAGATTATGGGTACCCCATACCCACACGGCATGGTTATCCGACTAGTTATAGGGGATAACTTATATATATGAAATATGTAACAGATCATGACTTGGGTATTACGTTTCCCTGTATATTATGGAACGGCCTAAAGTCCTGGTTTGATAAGATTGTAAAGTAGATTTAGGAAACCGATACCGTATTGGTTATGGTTTCTATCTTGTAACCCTGCCCCCCAACCTATATAAGGAGGGCAGGGAGCCCCTCTAGGGGCATGAGACAACCTGATCGTCAGATCAATACACACTCGGCGGATTCAAATCCCCAAACAGGAGTAGGGTATTACCTCTCATTGAGAGGGCCTGAACCTGTCTAAATCCTTTGTCTCTGCATCCATCCACTTTAGGTCTCGTACGCTACCCCCTTTTATTATTGCCGAATTCATGTTTCGACAGTTGGCGCGCCAGGTAGGGGTTGCGTCGAGTTTCCTATCAACGAGCGCGATGGAATCAATTTCATGAGTCGCCGACTTCGTTTTCGCTTTGGGAGTTTTCACTTCCTTTCCGTCGACCACTTCTTCAAGCTCCTCTTCTCTGACTTGATCCAAATCAGTCAGGGGGAAACTCAATCTGATTTTTATCATTATTTATCATATTGATTTTTAATCTCAGATTAATCTCTTGCTATTTTTTGTTGTTGTTCGCATATAATTACGCGGCACTATTGAGGCGATTGATGCTGGTCATGGACTCGAGGCGTCTCAGCTTTCCGGTCGATCGGCCGCGAGTCCACTCTGCCGGCTTGTCTTCGCCACCACCACTGCTGATAACAACAACGACTTCACCGCCGGCCTGCCTCCGTCGCCGCCGACTGGTGTCTCCGCCTATATGGTTGGTTGGTCACACCACCGTTGTTGGGCGTCTACGTCTTCACCACCGGCCTGCCTCCGTCGCCGCCGACTGGTGCCTCCGCCTACACGGCTGGCCTATTATGCCGCTGCTGTTGGGCGTCTACGACTTCACCGCCGGCCTGCCTCCGTCGCCGCCGAGTGGTGCCTCCGCCTACACGGCTGGCCTATTATGCCGCTGCTGTTGGGCGTCTACGTCTTCACCGCCGGCCTGCCTCCGTCGCCGCCGATTGGTGCCTCCGTCTACACGGCTGGCCTATTATGCCGCCGCTGTTGGGCGTCTACGATTTCACCGCCGGCTTGCCTCCGTCGCCGCCGAGTGGTGCCTCCGCCTACACGGCTGGCCTATTATGCCGCCGCTGTTGGGCGTCTACGACTTCACCGCCGGCCTGCCTCCGTCGCCGCCGAGTGGATCCTCCGCCTACACGGCTGGCCTATTATGCCGCCGCTGTTGGGCGTCTACGACTTCACCGCCGGCCTGCCTCCGTCGCCGCCGAGTGGTGCCTCCGCCTACACGGCTGGCCTATTATGCCGCCGCTGTTGGGCGTCTACGACTTCACCGCCGGCCTGCCTCCGTCGCCGCCGAGTGGTGCCTCCGCCTACACGGCTGGCCTATTATGCCGCCGCTGTTAGGCGTCCACGACTTCACCGCCGGCCTGCCTTCGTTGCCGCCGAGTGGTGCCTCCGCCTACACGGCTGGCCTATTATGCCGCCGCTGTTGGGCGTCCACGACTTCACCGCCGGCCCGCCTCCGTCGCCGCCGACTGGAGTCCTCGCCTATACGGTCGGTTGGTCACACCACCGTTGATGGGCATCGTCATCTACACCGCCGGCCTGCCTCCGTCGCCGCCGACTAGTGTCATCGCCTATACGGTTGGTCGGTCACACCACCGTTCATGGGCGTCCATGTCTTCACCGACCGGCTGGCCTTCGTCCGCCGCCGACTGGTGCTTCCGCCTGCACGGCTGGCCTATTATGCTGCCGTTGTTGGGCGTCTACGTCTTCACCGACCGGCTTGCCTTCGCCGCCGCCGACTGGTGTTTCCGCCTGCACGGCTGGCCTTTATGCCGCCGTTGTTGGGCGTCTACGTCTTCACCGACCGGCTTGCCTTCACCGCTGCCGACTGGTGTTTCCGCCTGCACGGCTGGCCTATTATGCTGCCGTTGTTGGGCGTCTACGTCTTCACCGACCGGCTTGCCTTCGCCGCCGCCGACTGGTGTCCACACCTGCACGGCTGGCCTATTATGCCGCCGCTGTTGGGCGCCTACGTCTACACCGCCGGCCTGCCTCCGTCGCCGCCGACTGGTGTCATCGCCTATACGGTTGGTCGGTCACACCACCGTTCATGGGCGTCCATGTCTTCACCGACCGGCTGGCCTTCGTCCGCCGCCGACTGGTGCTTCCGCCTGCACGGCTGGCCTATTATGCTGCCGTTGTTGGGCGTCTACGTCTTCACCGACCGGCTTGCCTTCGCCGCCGCCGACTGGTGTTTCCGCCTGCACGGCTGGCCTTTATGCCGCCGTTGTTGGGCGTCTACGTCTTCACCGACCGGCTTGCCTTCACCGCTGCCGACTGGTGTTTCCGCTTACACGGCTGGCCTATTATGCCGCCGTTAGTGGGCATCTTCGCTTTCACCGTCGACCGCCTTCGTCGCCGCCGACTGGTGTCTTCATTGTTATTGATGGACGACTTTGTTCCCACATTGGCCACTTCTGCCATCACCAAGGGGAATATTACAAAGCTAAGTCATCATTTATTTTATTCTTTATATGATATTTTTCCTTTTCCTCTGCCTCACTATACCAATTGGTCTTCCATTGAGTAGTGAGTCGGGGGCTACAGATGTTATATCATATTTTTCATAATATTTATCTTGATTGCTTGCGACATAATCTGAGTACAAAAGTACCTATCGAGTTATGGAGTTCTATCTTCCTATGCTTTCCGTTTGGTTTGCCAATGGATGGTTGCCTTTGGGCCGATTCCTAGCACCCGGGGGCTCGTTGGATGGACCGAGTAACGCAAGGTGCTAAGTATTATTCGGAATAAATCAAAAGCATAGAGATAAGATAATTTATTTTCTGCTCTTAATAATTGCAAAAGTACCCGAGTAGTAAACTCCGATCCGTGAAACTTTGTTCCATTAATGACGAACTCATGTCACTCATATGCATGTTTGGGAAGTGCTTAGGCCGACTCCCAGTGCTTGGTGGCTATGACTAGTCGGGCAGAGTGTTTAAACGTAATGAGTCATCTGCTCGGGGAAATCAAAATTAACAAGAGAAGAAATACGTATTTATAAACTGCCTGAATTTTTCTCGAGTATTATATTTACATCAGATACTACTCATCCTATATGTTTGTTCTGCAGGATCCAAATCCAGATATGCATAAAAGGGATTCATGGCTTTAAGCTTATCTCTTACGCTCCAGGAATGGATCAGTCAGAACATCACCACCGGCTCGCCGTCGTCGCCGCCGACTGGTGTCTTCGCCTATACGGTTGGTTGGTCACAACACCGTTGTCAGGCGTCTACATTTTCACCGACCGGCCGCCACGTCCGCCACCGACTGGTGTTTCCGCCTGCACGCTGGCCTATTATGCCACCGTTGTTGGGCGTCTACGACTCCACCACCGGCCTGCCTCCATCGCCGCCGACTGGTGTTTCCGCCTGCACGCTGGCCTATTATGCCACCGTTGATGGGCGTCTACGACTCCACCACCGGCCTGCCTCCATCGCCGCCGACTGGTGTTTCCGCCTGCACGCTGGCCTATTATGCCACCGTTGATGGGCGTCTACGTCTTCACCGACCGGCTTGCCTTCGCCGCCGCCGACTGGTGTCTTCGCCTGCACGGCTGGCCTATTATGCCGCCGCTGTTGGGCGCCTACGTCTTCACCGACCGGCTCGCCTTCGCCGCCGCCGACTGGTGTCCTCGCCTGCACGGCTGGCCTATTATGCCGCCGTTGTTGGGCGCCTACGTCTTCACCGACCGGCTCGCCTTCGCCGCCGCCGACTGGTGTCCTCGCCTGCACGGCTGGCCTATTATGCCGCCGTTGTTGGGCGCCTACGTCTTCACCGACCGGCTCGCCTTCGCCGCCGCCGACTGGTGTCCTCGCCTGCACGGCTGGCCTATTATGCCGCCGTTGTTGGGCGCCTACGTCTTCACCGACCGGCTCGCCTTCGCCGCCGCCGACTGGTGTCCTCGCCTGCACGGCTGGCCTATTATGCCGCCGTTGTTGGGCGCCTACGTCTTCACCGACCGGCTCGCCTTCGCCGCCGCCGACTGGTGTCCTCGCCTGCACGGCTGGCCTATTATGCCGCCGTTGTTGGGCGCCTACGTCTTCACCGACCGGCTCGCCTTCGTCGCCGCCGACTGGTGTCCTCGCCTGCACGGCTGGCCTATTATGCCGCCGTTGTTGGGCGCCTACGTCTTCACCGACCGGCTCGCCTTCGTCGCCGCCGACTGGTGTCCACGCCTGCACGGCTGGCCTATTATGCCGCCGCTGTTGGGCGCCTACGTCTTCACCGACCGGCTCGCCTTCGCCGCCGCCGACTGGTGTTTCCGCCTGCACGGCTGGCCTTTATGCCGCCGTTGTTGGGCGCCTACGTCTTCACCGACCGGCTCGCCTTCGTCGCCGCCGACTGGTGTCCACGCCTGCACGGCTGGCCTATTATGCCGCCGCTGTTGGGCGCCTACGTCTTCACCGACCGGCTCGCCTTCGCCGCCGCCGACTGGTGTTTCCGCCTGCACGGCTGGCCTTTATGCCGCCGTTGTTGGGCGCCTACGTCTTCACCGACCGGCTCGCCTTCGCCGCCGCCGACTGGTGTCCTCGCCTGCACGGCTGGCCTATTATGCCGCCGTTGTTGGGCGCCTACGTCTTCACCGACCGGCTTGCCTTCGCCGCCGCCGACTGGTGTCCTCGCCTGCACGGCTGGCCTATTATGCCGCCGTTGTTGGGCGCCTACGTCTTCACCGACCGGCTCGCCTTCGTCGCCGCCGACTGGTGTCCTCGCCTGCACGGCTGGCCTATTATGCCGCCGTTGTTGGGCGCCTACGTCTTCACCGACCGGCTCGCCTTCGCCGCCGCCGACTGGTGTCCTCGCCTGCACGGCTGGCCTATTATGCCGCCGTTGTTGGGCGCCTACGTCTTCACCGACCGGCTTGCCTTCGCCGCCGCCGACTGGTGTCCTCGCCTGCACGGCTGGCCTATTATGCCGCCGTTGTTGTGCGCCTACGTCTTCACCGACCGGCTTGCCTTCGCTGCCGCCGACTGGTGTCCTCGCCTGCACGGCTGGCCTATTATGCCGCCGTTGTTGGGCGCCTACGTCTTCACCGACCGGCTTGCCTTCGCCGCCGCCGACTGGTGTTTCCGCCTGCACGGCTGGCCTTTATGCCGCCGTTGTTGGGCGTCTACGTCTTCACCGACCGGCTTGCCTTCGCCGCTACCGATTGGTGCTTCCGCCTGCACGGCAGACTTATTATGCTGCCGTTGTTGGGCGTCTACGTCTTCACCGACCGGCCGCCGCATCCGCCGCTGACTGGTGTCACCGCCTGCACGGCTGGCCTGTTATAACGCCAACTGATGCTACCTTCTTCACGGCTGGCTACATCGCTGTCACTACTAATAGGCATCAGTATCGTCAACACAAGCTGCCTACGTTTGCCATGGCTGCCGACTGGTTTCTTCACTTCCATGGCTGCATGATTCTGCCAGTGTTGATTGGCCTTATCTTCTTCACCGCCGGTCGTCTCGTCTGCTGCTGACTAGTGCCCTCACCTCTACGTCTGGTTTATACAGCTACCACTACTGATGGACATCATCGTCTTCCGTTGCCGACTGGTTATGCCGCCGCCGACTAGTGCTTTTATCTTCACAACTGCGCGTCTTCGCTACCAGTTTGCTTCTGTTGCCGCCGACTCGTGTTCACTTCATCACGGCGATGCAACTTTGTCATCATGGTGGAGCGACTTCATCTTTATTATCTTCGGCACTGGCAAACTCTATTGCTGCTACTTCGCAAGTTTTACTACTTCACCAACCACGACGTCTTTGTGAACCTCGACATCTCGGCATGCAATGCCATGATATTTTACTACAACCAGTGACTCTCCAATATTCAGGATTTCTACTTGGACACCTTCAGCACATATCTTCAATCAAGCAATGACTACTCGACGACAAGAAGCTATAATTCTCGACTCTATGTTCAGTTGTTTCCCAACTAACCAAAGAGTCGGGGGCTACACAAATATAAGGCTCAAAATTTGACAAATTTTATGTCAAGCTGAAGAAATCAATTAATCAGCCAATGAGTCAACTCCAGGAGTCATTATCTTCATCTTTGCTTCGGAACAGACATTCTACTTCAACAACTTCAAATATTTCGGTTTAGACGAGTTGGGCAACAACATCAACTCTCCTCCAATTATTTGTCTTCACGGTTGGCCTACTACGCAACTGCCGATAGAGGATCTCATCGTTATCATCGGCTGCTACATCGCTATTGACTGGATCACCGACATCGTCATCTTCATCAACATCTTGTCAAGCCTCATCAACATAGCCTACTCTGCTGCCGTTGATGGGAAACTTCGTCATCATAGTCGGCTATCTCTGTTGCCGCTAATCATCATTACCGTCGGATGCGTTTGTCGCCGCCGATTATTTTCTTCATCTTCATGATTGGTGGATTTCGCCATCACCGTTGATGCGCGTCTACATCTTCATCGTCGGTTTGCTTTTGTCACCACCGACTGTTCTTTCGTTGTTGTTGGGCGCCTACATCTTCACTGCTAGCTGACCTGACTGTTGCCAACTGGTTTCTTCGCCTCCATGGTTATGCAACTTCATTACATTTGATTGGTGGCATCTTTACTACCACTGACATCTTCCGTTACTTCTGATGAGCAATTTCGTCTTCATGTTGGTCATTTCATCTCCATGCCGACTGCGTCAGCTATTGCCAATAGACAATTTTGACTATGACAGAAGGACAAGCTATATGCTCAGGGGCTCATCAACTCAAGCGTGAGGATTATATCTCCAATTTGGACTTGTTCCGGATACATTCCACATGGATTCATAGTCATGAGTCTATTTTCTATGCTCAAAGACTGGACCAATTATTATTCCCCGTAAGGGCTATCAACCGAATACTTGCGCCAGTCGGGATTCAATTATTATATTTATTTTGGAGTATCCCATAAGGGATAATCATTCATATCAGAAGCTATTCATATGAGCTACACTTGGTCTATATTACCCGGAAGATTTATTACTCGGGAGTATGTTACATGCGTCATCCTTTAAAGGGTGTCGAAGGCATATTTTTTGGCCTAGGCCTAATATGTCTGCAGCCCATATTTTCAGGTGTGGCCTGTCACGTTCTTTTAGGGACTTAGGCACTTTTTGCTTAGGCCAAAGTGCGCGTGATCAAGTGCCCAATACCTTAAAATCCTTTTATACCGCAGTTACTCAACTTTTTAGGAGTTGGTACAATGCATCTTAAAAGGTGTCAAACAGTAAAGCTTTATATAGCTGGCCCGCTGACTTTTTTATATATAAGTCAAGGTGCTGTTTGGATTTTTAAGCAATTGATTAGATACAATATCATTGCTTTTCGCCACGTAAGTGTGCATTTTTATTGACCAATATTATGGCTTAGGCTGATTATATATTATGGTCATTTTTCAGGCGGTTGGTAAATCCTTTATGAGTTTACTTACTCGGATGTTATACCACATATGCCATATATTTCCAGGTGTGGTGAAACCATGTGTCTTTTAGGGACTTAAGCACATCTGTTAAAGCAGTGTGCGCATGGCGTATGCCCAATACTTTGGAAATTTCTTTATTCACAGCATTCAAGCTTCTTTATAGCTATTTTGCTATATCATTCATCATATTTTACAAAGCAGTTGGTATATCACCCGGATCATGTTATTTGGAGGATTCACACCGCATATGCTATATATTGATATCAAGTCACTTGGTTGATTACGATTATCAAAACCACTCGGTTGGTTGGATTATTTATTCCTTGACTATATGCTTGGTTTGTTCAATTAACCACATTGTCGGGGGCTACACCTATTAGGTGCATCTAGTCGGTGCACCTGACTTTATTTTCCAGCCCTCCACAGTCTTCTGACTTGGAAAAAGTACTCGGGAGATCATGGCGAAGATGATTGAAGCACTCGGCTTTGGAGTAATCTAGTTCGAGAGAAGATTATCTTTCCGACTGTGAAGGTCTCAGGGGCTACTGTGGAGATTATGGGTACCCCATACCCACACGGCATGGTTATCCGACTAGTTATAGGGGATAACTTATATATATGAAATATGTAACAGATCATGACTTGGGTATTACGTTTCCCTGTATATTATGGAACGGCCTAAAGTCCTGGTTTGATAAGATTGTAAAGTAGATTTAGGAAACCGATACCGTATTGGTTATGGTTTCTATCTTGTAACCCTGCCCCCCAACCTATATAAGGAGGGCAGGGAGCCCCTCTAGGGGCATGAGACAACCTGATCGTCAGATCAATACACACTCGGCGGATTCAAATCCCCAAACAGGAGTAGGGTATTACCTCTCATTGAGAGGGCCTGAACCTGTCTAAATCCTTTGTCTCTGCATCCATCCACTTTAGGTCTCGTACGCTACCCCCTTTTATTATTGCCGAATTCATGTTTCGACAGTAGTGTAGTGCGCGCTCGCTGGTCCATCACTCTGATCGATCGTTCGATCTGTTGCAGGGAGGCCATCAGGAGCTACGCCGAGAAGGCGCACGAGCTGGTCGTGGACGTCGCGGCGAAGCTGGCCACGAGCCTCGGCCTGGACTGCTCGTTCGGCGACTGGCCGTGCCAATTCCGTATCAACAGGTACAACTACACGCCGGACACCGTGGGGAAGACCGGCGTGCAGGTCCACACGGACTCCGGCTTCCTCACCGTGCTCCAGGAGGACGACCGCGTTGGCGGCCTCGAGGTCGCCGACCCGGACACCGGCGAGTTCGCGCCCGTCGACCCCCTCCCCGGCACGTTCCTCGTCAACCTCGGCGACGTCGCCACGGTATGTATGACAAATTCCGATGCCGCTGTGCCGAACTCTACTTGTATAGTACTACCTCCATCCCAGAATATAGCAACGTATCTGGACATGACTAATGTCTAAATACGTTGTTTTAGGATGGGTCTCATCTCATCCTAGATTGATATATTCTGTGACGGAGGGAGTATATGATCTTTGTCTGGTTTCGCGTACGTGTTGTGAGTTTGGCGCGCGGGTGCAGGCGTGGAGCAACGGGGAGCTGCACAACGTGAGGCACCGCGTTCGGTGCGTGGCGGGGGTGCAGCGCGTCTCCATCGCGCTCTTCCTGCTGGCGCCCAAGGACGACGTGGTGCGCGCGCCGGAGGCGTTCGTGAGCGCCGAGCGGCCGCGCCGGTTCAGGGATTTCGGCTACGACGACTACCGGCGGCTCAGGCAGTCCACCGGGGAGCACGCCGGCGAAGCCCTCGCGCGATTAGCCGCATGATGCAGTAATAATCACCTTTACCACGGTGTGTACCATCATGCAGTCACATACGGGAGTACTACAATTGAGAGGTTTACTTACAGTATATGTTCAAACGGGAGCGGGTGTTTACTTTGTTTGATGCACTGCATCAATTAAAATATTAAAATATACTTGCATTACAAAAGTTAATTTGTTGATTAATAATACATGAACAATACTTAAAGTTAATCATAATTTGGCTCTGTTTTTGTCCATTTGAGCCTCTGACTTACTCAATTGATGAGTAGTAGTGAGCGAAGTAACTCATCTGAGCAAACAGAATCCAGTTAAACGGTTGATCATGGAAAATTTTGCTTAGTAACTAGAAGTAAGAAAAAAAAGAGAGTTGGCGAGGAGGGTAGGTTACATTGGGACCTCCTCTATATGAAAAGACCTAGCCGACCATAGGCTCGACCGGAGACCGTGGTATACGTCGAGGACAAGAGCGCAAACGAACTTAATCGCCGACGACCTGAACAGACATCACGGTGTGTACCATCACGGTGGGCGCGCACCATGCCTAAACACTGTCACTCGCCAACTCTCCTGCCCTCCAATTCAACCGTCGTTGGACAAGCCTGCGCTACCGGGGGATGGCCGCGGCTTTATCGGGCGCGCATTCCGCGCCGGAAACCGATGTGGGGACTAAACTCTGGCAGTGGCGCACTCCGAGATGACGGTGGGCGGATCGATGATAATCAGCAGCTTGCCTACTCCCTCCGTCCAAAAAAAAAAGACAAATCCTGGATTTCCGTGCCAACGTTTGACTGTCCGTCTTATATAATTTTTTTTATAATTAGTATTTTCATTGTTGTTAGATGATAAAACATGATTAATACTTTATACGTGACTTATCTTTTTAATTTTTTTCATAATTTTTCTAAATAAGATGGACGTTAAAACGTTGGACACGGAAACTAGTGTTTATCTTTTTTTTTTTTTGAACGGAGAGAGTACTTGCGATCGAGTCGTCTTCTATTCCGAACTGAGATGTCTCCCACTGCCCCCACACATTGTGATTGATGTGTCGTGGTGTGGTACGGTGTGGCTGCTACTACAGTGGAGATCAATTTGCTTTTCATCTTTTTAATCGAATGGATTATTTGAATTTTCAAATTTTGCATATGCTGTCTTAGCTCTTAACGCCTGACAATTTCTAAGTTGACAGGGATCCGGAATTTTACATTTGATGCATTATTGGTCTAATATACTACTCCGGAGTATATGCTGTGTCGTCACATACGAACGACAAACTGTGATACGCGCATGCATCGAAGTGATGAAGCACTGCAAGCTGCATGCGGCTTAGTACACACACGAATGCTTAGCAACATGCATGCTTGCTCTGTTCCTCCGAATGTCGTTTCATGGTGAGGCATAGTGCTTAACTGAAGCACTGCGAACCGCATGCCTGTTAGCACAATTCATAATCATCACGAAACTTGTGGATGTGGGTATGTTTAATTAGGAACTACTTGCTTCGTTTTAATCATTTTAGCATTGCCAAAAACGGAAAGACAATATATAGAAACAGAGGAAGTAGCTGGTATCAAAAACAATATATAGAGGTTCAGAAGAACAAATGAAGAAAAGAGTTGGCATCTTGGGCCATACTCCAGTGCAACAGCACCCAATTCAACTGTCGTTGGGTTAGATTTGTCCAGCTGGCACCTATAGAGAAACAAAATAACAAAAGAGGCAAGGTGTGGTTTAGAGAAATAACAAAAAGAGTTGGTAGTGGGGGTTTAAGTGGGCGAACCCATGCACCACGAAGAAGGCTTTGCAGCAGGGTGGCGAAGCGTAGGCTCATCTCGTGCATCGGACAGAGACTCTGTCCTTTGCCATGAGTCCCGGGGGGGAACCCCGGCTCCGTGGAAATCCAAAGCTGCACAACTATCGGGCCTGGGCTTGAGGTAGAGAGCCCCAACCCAATTAACCCGCCAGCCTATACAGGCCGACCAGCCTGGACCAAATACGCCAAGTCCCCTACTCCGAAAGCCCCAATCTCCTCTACCGGCTCGACGCACCGACCTAACACCGACCCAACTCCAGCTGGCTGGTAAATTTCTCTCGCGGGGGGCCTTCTCTCTTGGCCCGCGACCCCATCAGTGAGTGAGTACCCATTTTCTCTTATGGGCCTCTTTTTCAACGACCGGCCTGCAACACAGCAGGTGACCTCGGTCCAACAAGAGCGCGAGCGCCCCCACGCCTTTTCTTCCCATGCAACTATCTGACGGCGGCGGCCTGGCGACTTCCCCCCTTCCAGGGCACGCCGGCGCGCGTCCGATTTAGGGAGGGAGAGTTTCGTTTCGGCGACCTCGACCCCGGCGATTTGCCATGGGCTCGAGCCCACAAACCCCAACAACCAACTCTTTAGCCCTCCGAAAGCTGGAGTAACAGGCACGCGCGACCGAGCCCGGCTGGTGGAGATGGTGGGAAGCGCGTATTTAAGCTGGTCTTGGCGTCGTTCGGCAAGCGGTATGGTACTAATCGAGGGAATAGTGCTTGTAGAGGACATCGGTAGTGAGAAGTGGGTGCTTGAGCTGACTTGAAAGCCCATCTTACATGGGCCTCTTCCTTCTCTGTTTTTGTCTCAGGGAAACATCCGAGATCTGCAGCTGGGCAGGCCGGCACGGAGCCCGCCTCTGGGTGTCCACGAATCCGCTGAATCCCCCTGGTGTTGGAACAGCGAAGCTTCTCGTTAGCCTCACGGCCTCACCTCACCATCGTCAACTTCACCGAGAAGCTTATGCAAACAGCCAAACAGTCTTTTGCTTCCCTGACCAGTGAAAGTCTTGTGTGACTGACAATCATGTTCCATTTGATCATTTGATGCATTCTTCTCATAACTCTGATTAAGTTAATTGGTGTGGTTTCTCATGGTACTGGAGTTGCACAAGGTAAGCACTTGAGTAGGCGTAATGATGGGCGGAAAACTGATCGTACTAAAAATTGTGCGCTCTCCCGGGCTAAATACTACAAATACCCTCATCTTTTCGTTTATATTTATACTTATAAGTCAAAATTTAAATATTTCACATTAAATTTGAAGCTAATTTTGAGGGTTTTTTTATCAAAGTTTATTTTTCAGCCTTTACTTTTATTACTAAGAACACATAAATTATTATCGATGGGCGCGTAAGTTGATTAATTGAAGTAGAAATCTCTAGCCTGTCTCCGAGGTAGCAGTCACCCAGTAGCTCCGTCACGCTGCCTGTTAGCTTGCGGTTCAATATGCGTTGTGATTACAACAGGCAAAACATTGAGCAATCCATTTGTATACATCTTACAAAGACGGTGAGATTAGCACGGCATTACCCTGCGGATAAGGATTGAATATGGAGTACCGAGGTAGCATGTAAATGGCATGGCTGTTGTGCGTTGTGCCAGGGCTCATTGCCATCACGTGTTCATGCTTCACACGTAAAGTACATACAGACGTTGTAATTAGATTTGAAGATGTGTTTATTGACAAGGTATTGGCAAAACGGCCGCAGAACACCAATGTCTAGGTCGGCTTGACCAACTATGAACAATGTTGAAAATAACCAATCATGGCACCCTACGCCAGGGCAAGAACCATAGCCACACTCATCAATCTTCAACTCGCAATTGCAGCATAGGGCAGCTAGTAGTTCGGAATGAGAATGGACAATTGCCGAATGGCCACGAGAAGTTAGAATCCGGCCCACCCTGATGGTTGCTCCACTTTCTTCGCTGCTCCTGAGCTGAATCTCTGGGAGGAACTCCCCTGAGCAGTGGGCCTGTTGATCTGAGCGGCAGTACTCCCTGGTGATGTCCTGAAACTATCTGGCCCGAAACCCCAACCATCTGGTGATTGTCTTGAGTTTGCGTTCCTTGCCAGGTTTTGCGCTCCATTGGTAGAATGATCAACCTTTGGTCTGACCTGAGCAGGTTGAGATTTGGGGTCAGGGAATGCCTGCCATGTTTTGGCTTCAGAGCTAGGTAATGAGTTTGCGAGCATTCCTTGCTCAAGCTCCCACACCGTTCCTTCAATCTTCTCCTTACGCTACATATGAATGCAAGTCTCAGGTAAGATTCTAACAGAATTAAGAAATAGGTTAAATACGTTGTACCAGATATACAAACGGAGCACGAACCTGTGGCCCGGAGTCTGGTAATCTTGAGCTGACTTTGCTTGATGGAGGTGTAGTCTCGGCAAGAGTGCGCTTGAGCTCTTGAATCTCCTGGCGCTGGGAGCGGCATATTGCAGACAACTTTTCAAACTTGGCTGTCATCTCGGCCTTCTCTGATGATGTTTTCTTCAACTGCTCCTTCAGATTGGACACTTCTGCTTCAAGCTCAGATTCCTTACTAGCAACATTGGTCCCAGAATGGAGATTGTTTGCTTCAAAATCAGCGACAAAGCTGTTGAAGGGATCCTTCTCTGATTTTGGTTGTGATTCTTTAGTTTTCAAAGAACTTTGTGACTCCATGAACAGATTTGTGTTAGCACCACTTGCAAGCCCATTGTTTGATACAGAGTTACTTGGTGTACCCCGGACAGCCTGGCCAGAACGACCATGTCTATCTCCAGGGGCACTGATGCTGATATCCCCTCTGCTTTGGTTATGCTTTGATGAAGGTGATGGTTTTATTGGTTCCTCATCAAACAAAGAGTTCCTATTATCTGCAACTTGAGAACCCTGTGCATGCTGTGTTGCCCAAAATGCACCTAGAGGTGCATCTCCTGCCTTTGAGCTTCCATGAGATAACGAACTATTGGATTGTTCTATTGGAGGAGGAGGCGGGTTCCTTCTAGGCATCACATGTGTTCTTTTATAAGCACCTATACAAGAAAAAAACAAGACAAGGCTCCAATTATGCAAACAAATTATTGCAATCTTACATGATTTGGTGGCTTCTGTCTGAATTGACAATAGCAAAATAATGCAGTAAGCCTACCTCAGCCAACAATCACACTATCTTTTAGAAAATATTTAGAACTAACAATCAGACTAGAACAGTAAATGTTTATTCTAGCATGCAGTGCACATCATGATGGCATGGCACAAAGGCTGTATATCCTAGAGGACAAGAAGGTAGGTCATGACAGAAAGGTTGCTTAGCCTATAGGACAAGAAAATAGGTCAATGACAAATGCAGTGAAGCAATGCCCATAATCATAACATCCAAACAAATCATAGAGGATGCCAAAAGCTCCCTGATGAGAAAAAGATATACGAGTGCATAAGAAATACCAAAAAATATGTTTATTTGAAGATGGCCCACATACATTTGAAGCAACCCCACATGAATAATGAAGTGCATTCTAGTGCCAATAGCATGTCTTTCAGCATACCTTCATCTTGCAAACTCATGGAAATGCCTGACGAAGCTCCATCGGGTAGATTTTTCTGTAACTCGAGAGGTAGTAGTTCATTTACACGAAACCAGACCTGTCAAATGTACAAAGTCTAACATCAGATTTAGAAAAATATGCTTATGTGGTTCCTAAGGCTACATGCAACAGTCTATGACTAACCTAGTATCATGGAGATGAATGGCCAATCAATCAAAGCTCTTGCCTGCGTGACATCAGGTCTGTCATTTGGAGAGGCTTCCAGCATATCTTTGATCAACTTTGTGACAGCGGCACTATACTTGGGTTGCTCTGGAATACGATAATTGCCATTAAGTATCTGCAACTTGGACTCTCCATCAAATGCAGACTTGAAGTAGCATATTCTATATAGAAGGCACCCCAAGGCCTGCCAAATGTCAATTCAAAAAAATTTTATAAACAAATTCACCTTGGTTTGAATATAATGCATTGCAGGATGAATATATAGATTTCAAAAATTAAGAACAGTGTGATTCACCAAGATGTATCTAAATGCTAAGTAGATATGCCAGCATAATAATTAAAGTGGATATAGCATATAATAGTACTTGCTGTGAATATAATTACACTTACCCAGATATCGACTTTCTCACTAATAACTTCTCTTCTGTAAAGATCCCACATCTGGAAAATGCATCCATGGGGTCACTGGGGGTTACACAGGTTTTAAAAACTATAAATTACTCCATGGGCAATTGTTTCTTTACCTCAGGGGCCCTATATGCTGGGGTTGTATGCTTCCGGATGATATCTTCCTCAATCCCCATCTCTTCTGGCCTATCAAAGCATTTATGGTTTGTTGATGTGCTTCCAAAATCGCACAATTTCCATGCACCGTCTAATCCAAGAAGAACATTTTCAGCTTTCAGATCCCTAAAGAATCAGAAAAGAGGCAGAATGTAAGATGCATGTAGGTGATAAACAATAAAGCGATTGCTATAAAACCAGGTCCCTCATTTACACCTAATCTGGAATAACCCTAACTGATTATTTGTTTGCATATGCCCAGCCTTGAGAAAATAGACAAGCTACAAGGTGCAGGAGTTCCGCACTTCACAACAGAACATAAATTTAGTACATACACAGTTTGCTAATATACCAGCAATTGCTTAGTGAATTCAAGTAATCTAATCAAACAGTAAAACAGAACAGCATAACTACTGCAGGAACGTACTTTCAAATACTTGATAAAAGCACATAAAACGTTCTAGCAACGATGAGATATAACTATCTTTGATACTTTAATTTTTTTTTTCAACATACCTATGTGCAATTGGTGGTGACTGACCATGCATAGCAAAAACTGCATTGCATACATCTCTGAGAATCAAAAGTGCCTTCTTCTCCTCATAATAACCAGTACCTCTGCTCTCCATTGCGCTAACCAAGGACTTCTCACAGAACTCCATAACAAGTAGTGCCTCCTTTGTGCGGCCCATATCAAAAACATCATGGGCAACTAGTGTAACCACATTAGGATGCCCTTTGAGGAGGTTCATCACCTGGATCTCCTCCATTACAAGATCAAGCAATTCTGAGTCGTTGCAGATGATGTGCTTCATTGCGTACTGCTTTGATGGATGCATTGCGTCGGATGCCAGATATACACAAGAGAAACCTCCTTGTGCAATAGCATTGCGTACTGTAATCTTAATGTTGCCAACATCAATGGTGCGACCTTCCAATCCATTTTGTACTTTCCCCCCGAAGGGATTGAACCTCCACATTATTTTTTTTTCCGCGTGCCCCTACGAATATAAATGAAAATCCACTGTTTAATTTTTGTCAGTGCGCTCTTACAAATATTTCTGTGTAGATAAAAAGAAAGAGTGAAGCTCCAATATGCAGTAAGTAAAACTGTAATTGTAAAAGTATAGCACTATATCTGTGTACTACAAGATTAAAAGAAATACTAGCTGCTCAAACAAGGTTATCAAGCTCCATCACCTAGGCCCTAATACAATTACCGTTTAGGATTTTTACTAATCTGAAGATTTAACATAGCAACTGCACATGGCACACCCAGCAGTTAAGGATAACCACATTTGACAAAGGTAAGAAAATAAGAAGTAATAAGCCATGTCATGCAATGAGCTGAAATTTTACTTTCGGCCTGTCTGAATTGGATAACATAGTATTAAGCTAGGACCAGCAAACAAAACGTAAATTCTTTGTTAAAAAGAGGAGAACCCATATTCTCTGTAACTAATTAATTATTTAAGGGTAATCCAAGTATCCAAGTGAACCAAAATGGGTGTGACTAGTCACCCACAGGTAAACCCGATTGCTGGCACAGTTCTCCACTAAGATATCTGATATAAGCAATGGCGTTGCTGTGAGGCACTAACTCCGCAGAAATCACAGAATCCATAAGACCGTGTATTCTAAACTGGTTAATCCTAAGCAGAGCGGATGCTATGAACACATCTCCAGTACGATCAGCCTCATATAAGATCATCTCGTCGAAACCGCTGTGCATCCTCGATAAACACCAGAAGTAAAGGGAATTCGTGGTGCCTTTCAGCCAGATTTCAACCAAGCATCTAAAATAACCACCAAACAAAACAACCAACTAAATACGCTCCCGTGCCACACACCCCCGCGCGCGCAGATCGCTGCGATCCCATTCCCACGCACGATCCAATCCAATCCAATCCAACCATCCCTCCCCATGCCAAATGCAGATCCGAGCGCCCCGCCCGGTGAAACCGAACCTACCCACGCGGGCGGGCCGCGGCGTCGCGTTCCCCAGCGAAACGCGAATCGCGCGGAAGAGCTTGGCCAGGCCAGGCGAAGGCTTACGCGGCGCGCACCTATTAGATCGAAGGCTCCTCCGTACTCCTCTGGGGCTCGCGTCCTCGCCGCCGCCGCCGCCCGCGGGCGGATTCGCAGCGCGATCTGCGGTGGTGGAGGAGGAGGTTGCTGGGGGTGCGCCTGCGTTGTGATGCGACGCCCGTGGAGGTGGAGGTGGAGGCAGGCGAGGGAGGGAGGGAAAAAGGAATGGACGAGGGGCGAGACGTGGTGATGGATGGAGTGGTGGAGGTGGAGGTGGTGGAACCGTGGCGTGGGGAGCTTTGCAGTTGCAGCCTTGCAGGGGGTGTGGCCGGGTGTGGGGGCCACGCAAGGGGGTGTGGGCTAAAATATTTTCCTTCTTTTTTGCGCCTTTTTGTTTTCGTTTTTTTTTTTTTGCTCGCGTCGCCTTCTTATTGGCAGCCTCAGCAATCAAAGAAAGGTGTTGTAAAATTCCAAATCAGCATCATCCCAACTTGACAGGTTATTAGAGCAAAGTTAATAATACAGCTGACTTGTTGTATGTAAGATTCTTTATAGTCTTCTCTCAGCCCACCCATATAATAGTTAGCTCTTTATAATTAATATTTCATCCGTTTCACAATGTAAGTTACAATTAATGAATCTAGACAGATATATATGTCTAGATTCATTAACATCAATATGAATATGGAAAATGTTAGAATGACTTACATTGTGAAACGAAGGTAGTACATGGTTAATTTGTCTTCTCTCCTCTTTCTCTGCTCTACCTCGGTATTTAGTTGGCTTACAACCTCCTATTATACTTTCTCTTAGTAGTTCCAAAATGCATGGTGCATTCTCTTTTTTTTATTTTAGATGAAGAAATTTCAGAAGGATTGCAAGTCACAAAATCGTAATTTTAATTCAAAACAAGAAAATCAATTAGTATAACACAAGCCTGAAGGCAGAGATAACACTTGCATTTTCGAATATGGATGCAAGAATCTATAAAACCATTGTGTTGTCTAGTGGCTTATAAGTTGCATATAGTCATTTTATTTCTAAAACTAGAAAGAAGAATCTCTAAAATTAGCGGCCATTCATTATACCAGTTATGTTTGGATCACATCAAACCGAAGCGGAAGATCCATTAGTGTAGCATCGCCTCTACAATGAATAACCATACATCATCTATATGCCATTTTGAAGACTAGTTGTTGTTTGATTCATAGCCTTAGTTTGCCATAACATTAGCACGCAGGTTTAATCAACTTAGCCCAACGTTTGGTTTGTTTACACTTTTCATGTGTCATAACATTCAACTTAGGGTCCTCGCTTGTGTACTATTCATAGCCAAAGTTTGCATAGCTAATAGTTCCTTAGCCACAAAAGTTGTGGCGTGCCGTATCTTAGCTCAAAATATTTGGCAAAATAATACATGCAACCAAAGAGCTCAACACACCGATCAGTTCTGCAGGACCATCATTTGCCTTTTGACTTATCAATTGCATACAAAAATTGAATTGTGAAACTAAATTTTAGAGTTGATTTGTAAGTTTTTTTAATCGTAGTTTTATTCTGGCTTTCAAGTCGTTAAGAACATGGATATATATAAGTATATTCATTATTTTTTTCTATTAATAATCCATTTTATGGCTTACTAGCTGTAGACAAGGTTTGCTAAACCGTCCTTATTTGTGAGGGTATGTTAAGAGTTATTGGAAGTAGGGTTTGGTAAATTTTGTTCGGATCCAAATTATGAAAAAAGGATAAATTCTCCTAAAATTTATAGGATCAATACATGATTTGCAATGATATCTGGTGACAAAACTTTATAAAAATAAAGCTAATTCTATATTTTGGCATGACTAAAAGGCAACATTGGTCCAAAATCGATGTTTGATGCTCGTGAATGTTATATGTGAATGCTATAATCATCATAGTTGTAGACATTATATATTTCTATTGTCAAACGTGGTTTTTTCCCGTGATTTTCTTTTTATTTAAGTCAAAAGAGCATGTTTACCACGCCTTATCGTGCTGCGATTGCCACGACATAACCACAGTAATCGCGATATTGTCATAAGATTTAAATTTTGATATTTAAATTTTAGAAGATAAAATTCACATGGTCTTTAGCGGTAACCAAACGGTTACCGTGATAACCGTCTTATTGTGGGGTAACGGTAATCTCCCATAGATCATATGAGAAACTTGGTTGTAGGTTAAACGATTAAACTTGCGTTGAAAATTGACGATGATCGAACTCTCGTTAACAACCTTCTAAACTTGATTTTAAGTTTGAAAGGCTTGAACACAAGTGCAACATTCTCAATTTCTTATATTCGAAATCCTGGCAATCCCTTTTAAAATCTTGGGAGCACTTGTTTCTTTGCCACTACTTGCGGTTGACCGGTACTTTCACGTTCGAAACCTCAACCAAATCATGGTGGTGCACGGTTTTCGGGTTTGGTAGCATGTTGTTATCGGGTACCACAGGGTGCCCCATCGCAAATCGAGAATGAAACAGAGCCACAGACAAACACAGAGGTGCGAAGCTTCGTGAAAAAGGCAACGCGTCGGTGCGATGCTGCAGTGCAGTTTGCCTTTGTGCTTGTCCAGATCCGACAAAATTTTTCGCTCTGTCAGATCAAATATTAAATATAAAAAAATAACTAATTACATCCGTGGATAAATTGTGAGACGAATCTTTTAAACCTAATTGCTCTATTATTATTTGACAATATGGTGCTACTGTAAACATTTCCTAATAACGAATTAATCAGGCTTAATAAATTCGTTTCGCAGTTTACAAACATAATTTGTAATTTTATTTGTTATTAATTTATATTTAATACTTTAAATATGTGTCTGTATATATGATGTGACGTACCAAAACTTTACACCCATAAATCTAAACGCCCCCTCTGGTGACAGATCGAAACGTTGGGGCTATATCTGTCACAGACAAATTCGGTGTTACTACAGCGGTGCATGTATCGTACATTTGTACGTGTAATTCAAGCACTTTGGACGGATGGACCAATCACTGATCAATCGATCATGTGACTTCTCCGGCTCAAGAGGTGACAGCAAAACAACATGGGCTTAACAGATTTAAATATCAACCTAACATGCCCTTACACCCGCAGTGAGCAGTGAAGATCTTCAACTAGATTTAACCATTTATAAATAAGAAAGCATAAGTATAGCTTAAGAAATGCTCAAAATAAAAAATAGTTTTCAAACAATTGTAATAGCTATTTTATTCAATGTTAGATTAAGGGTTGGGAAAAGAATATTTATAGTTTAAGGTTACCTAAGAGATGATTTTTAAGGAGGTAAAAAATATCAAGCTAACAATTTTTAAAGAAAAAGTATTAACTACAGCAAAATAAACCAATTCGGAGAGAAAGTACTCTCTCCGTTTTACTCAGTGTCATATTATTTCTTAGTCAAAATTCTTTACATTCATTCAATCAAATTTATAGAAAAACTAGCTTACATTCATTCAATCAAATTTATAGAAAAAATAGCTAACATCTACTCTATTCTTACACACAAGATTGGCTTTATGGGCATCGAGAAATGCAAATATGTAGATTGGCTTTATGGGCATCGAGAAATGCAAATATGTAGAATTAATTATTCTTGATCTGTAGATGAAATATGACTATAAGAAATAGATGAAGAGAGTACGTCATTCTAGCATTTTCTCTAATATTAATGAATATAAACATATAAATCTCTTTAAATTCATTAACATCAATACTCTTTAAATTCATTAACATCAATACAAATGTAATACGAATATAAAAAATGCTAAAATAACTCACATTAAATCGAAGTACTACAATTTAATTTTATTTTATATTAAACATATTTTAATACAATATTTGTTTTTATTATAAATATTACTATAATTTATTACAAATCAAATTTGAATTTTTTTAAAAAGAGTTCTATTTAATTAACTATAGCTAAATTTAGATTTGGTATTTTGTGGGTAGGGAGGCCCACACAGGCAAGTCCTGCAAAAGTAAGCAGTGTCAATACCCGCGCGAGCCTCTTCCCCTCGCAAAAATTGCCGTGCAGGGTTTGAGTCCCGCACCGCGAGCGGCTCTCACCGCAACGCTTTGTTTTCCTTACTCATTAGTTTAAGGCAAGTTTTTTCGTTGCACCTCACCCACCTTATATAGCACCAGCCGCACCCCGCATCTCCTCCGGCCAGCGAGGTGGGATTATTCACCACATTCCCCCTCTCGTTCGTTGCGCTGTGTCGACCATATATGGGCCGTGGTGGCCCATTGACCTGAGAGGGTTGGAGCCCAGCCGTAAAATGTGGGCCGCACTGCGTCGGCCCATAACTAGATGCGAACATGGGCTAGGCCCACTTAATTCAGGTCTCTGACCTTAAACCCTCCGCTCGCCTCCTCCGCGAAGCATATACACCCCCATTCTCTTCCTCGCGCCGCCGCCGCCGAAGCAGCTGCGACCGCCGCCGCCGCGATTCGAGCCCCAGCCATGGCGAAGAAGCGGAAGCGCTCCTCCGATGCGGCGGCCGCGGTGGAGAAGCCCGACGAGTTCGCGCCGCAGCGCCCGGAGCGCACCCTCTTCGGCTTCAAGGAGAAGCCCGCGGACGACGAGGAAGCCGAGGCCGAGGCCGCCTCTGAGGGAGAAGAGGATGCCGCCGCCGCCGCCGCCGCGGCGCCGTTCCGCAACAAGGAGAAGGTGCTCGTGACCTGCTCCCGCCGAATCAACTACCGGTGAGTGGCGCCGCACCGCGCGCTCGTTTTTTTTTCGTTCGGTGTGATGTGGCGGCGGATAGATCGATTGATGTGTGGATGTGTTGTTTTTGTGGGGGGATTGGGGTGGTGGGTTTTGCTCGTAGGTATCGGCATCTGATGCAGAACGTGGTGTCGCTGCTGCCGCACGCCAAGAAGGACAGCAAGGTCGAGTCGAAGCAGAGCAAGGGCAATGCGCTCAACGAGCTGCTCGAGCTCAGGAACTGCTCCAGCTGCCTCTTCTTCGAGGTATATATTTACACATATACTGCTACGATCTCAAGTTGCTTCAGGCCTCATCTTTGATGCGCTGATGGTTGCGTGCTTGATAGGAGAAGCATGCAATAGGATTATCACTAGCTGTTGAATCGTTCTATACTTCTGTTCTTAACATGCATTAAGCTAGTGATTTGTAGTTCTAGCGCTAAAACAATTTCACTCTTTAGTAATTCTATATTTCTTTTCTGCTGCGGAGATTACTGAGCTACTACTTCACTATGATAATAAAGCTTGGAGCTTCAAATTCTCTGTTCAGTTTAGACCTTAGTATTGCAATTCTGATGGTGGAACTTCTTCTATATGTATACTACAGTGCAGAAAACAGAAGGATCTTTACCTTTGGATGGTTAAGTCCCCTGGAGGACCATCAGTGAAATTTCTAGTTAATGCTGGTAAGTATGTCAAGTATTTGTGAGCTGTAATCTGTACAAGATTATGGACATTATTCCATCAGTGCCTAAATGTCCAGTAATGTTTACATGCAGTTCACACCATGGAGGAGTTGAAGCTTACAGGGAACCATCTGAAAGGGTCACGGCCTCTTATAACATTTTCTACAAATTTTGATGAACAACCTCACTGGCAGCTTGTGAAAGAAATGCTAACCCAGGTGCATGACTGATTTGATATGTTATTTTGCTCTACATGCATTCTTATCAATGAACAAGTTGATCATGCACTAGACTAAATAACTAATCTTTATCAACTTATTGTGACTTTAGTCTTGGTTTTTTGCCTGGTAACAGCGTTCAAACTTGAGTAGTTGAATTAAATACATGTTTTTTGATAATGTCTTATTGTACTTGTAGAACCCAGTTTGTGAATTCAATTCACAAGTATTGAGAGTGTTCTGTTGTTTATGGACTAGCCTGTAGGTATCTGCTGTACTGTCTACATGAAACACTTTACATCCATTTTTGACATGTTGATAACTTTGATTAAGAAAGTGTAATCCTTTTAAAAATCTGGTTCTAGACTTCACAATTTTTTAGTACTTTCCATCATACACCTTTTTCTTAATGCTGTCAGTTTTCAGAATTAATATTTGGTCATGATGCCAATATGAATGTTGTTTTAGCTTTCACATGTTATGAACTTTATGGAGAACTGGGGGAATGCAATCCGTGATGAAGTTATACATGCTTCTTTTCTAGTAAAGCAGTTGAGAAACAAACTTGCCCTAAAAAACATAAGAAACTAACTATTATTTGCTCTGCAGATATTTGCTACTCCAAAAGATCATCGAAAGGCAAAGCCTTTTCATGACCATGTGTTTGTCTTCTCTATCGTTGATGACCATGTTTGGTTTAGAAATTATCAGGTAATATATTAGTCTGTTTGTTTTCTTAATTTTCATTAACTCCTGCCAGTTACAAGCAATAGAAGTTCCTAGCATTGTCTGAATATTACCGTATGATCAACTTTGTCAGATTTCTGTTCCCCACAATGAGATTGACAAGGTTGATAAAGGAGGTCTGGACAAGATGACACTTGTTGAGGTAAAGGCGCATAGCTTCTATTTGTATAATATTTTTTTATGTTTCCAAGTTTAGTTTCAGTTTTGAGATCGAACTTGCTGTGTAGGTTGGCCCAAGGTTCTGTTTGAACCCAATCAAAATATTTGGCGGTAGTTTCGGTGGCCCTACATTGTACGAGAATCCATTCTATGTGTCTCCCAATCAGGTATCCCTTTTTTACCACCAATTGATTGCTGTGTATGTACAATACATATTTCTGAGCATCTTAGGTGAGCACCTGAAAATGTTAAAGCAATCTAGGTTTGTTTGTTCTGGTCATGCTTACGCTTTCTTTTGTGTATCATTAAATGGACCAACAAAAGTTTTTGCTGTTGTGTTTGCTCTGTTCATTGATTCGTCTAAGCATTGTGATTTTGATTCAACTATAACAAATCATTTACCCTCATGTTGCACGACTGCACGTGTAGTTCATATGTTTATTTTGTTATCTTCGTCAGATCCGTGCACTAGAGAAGCGGAAGAAGGCCGGCAAGTATGCCAAGAAGGTCAAGGCTAAGGTGAGGAGGAAGATGCACGAGATGGAGAACACTCTGGAGCCTGATGAATTTGCTGAACTTTGGAAAGGGGAGGACTAGTTCAGCTATAGTGATTGAACCATCAACCCCCGTTAAACTAGTTGCTCTCGCTGTCACCCGACACGAGTTTTGTTTACTATATCTCGTGGAATTTCTTGTATGACACCATGAGTCTATTATTTACATGAATAAGATTTTAGTGTCCTATCCTAACTCCATCTCGTCTCGTGCTTAAAAGTATAATTCGCATTAGTAGACTTATATGTGCTTATTGCTTGTTACGTTTTTTTGTTACCACTGTTTTACCATGTTTTTGGCACAATACAATTTGAAGGGCCTGTTTGGGGGAGCTTAAAATTCTGAGAAGCAGCTGTCAGCTTCTGGCTTCTTAGTTCATTTTTCAGAATTTGTAACTATAGATTCTCAGAAGCTATGGATTGTTTGGGGCAGCTTTTGGAAAAAGCTACAGCTGGGACAAGCTCCACTAAACAGGGCCAAAAACGAGGACCCGATGTGAGCAAGCTTATAGGAAGGGGAAAAAAGAGTCACTTTCCATCGTTTGGCGCTCTGCTCATAAGTCAGTTCTAAAGTTTAAATTTTAAAACTTAATTTTGAAGTTGATTATAGGTTTATTTTTTATGTTGGTTTTTAAACTGCAATAACACAAACATAAAGTTTACCAACAAATCTTTTTTCTTCTGTTGCTTATATGTCGTTTTATGCCCTATCAGACAAGATCATGCAACCGAAAGTAAGTACCAAGGATAGCCGTGAGGTAATCAAAAAAGATTTGAAATTACTTTTTGTCAAAATAACGAGGGGGAAAACATCTACCCGTAAAAATCTGTCTAGAGCAAACGCTTCGCTCTTATTATGGGCTGTGAACTTAGCAAAACAAAACGGACGGATTAGTTTCATGTGCGTCCCTGATATATGTCTGAGTTTCATTTGCATCCCTCAATCATATAATAAAAACGTTTATTTTACATTAGTTTTACGAGTTGGAGTATACTCTATATCTGGTTTTGCATCCCTCAACCGTAAACCAAATATAGATTACGTCCATTTTGTACTTAGTTTTACAAGTTGGAGGCATACCCAGTTTTGCGGTTAAGGGTCAAGCAATCAATACTTTTTGAGGGATGTTAAGTGGACTTTTTTTCCACGGCCGAAACATACCGCGTGCATACGTGCTGCGTTAAACGAGCCCAAGACCAAAATCCAGGAGAGCCCAAGAAGCTAGGGTTTCCGCCTCCACGCCGCCGCACGTATATAAACCTGCGACCAAACCCTCCCCTCCATTCTCCTTCCCACCCCACCGCCGCCTCCACCCTCTCTCTCGCGCCGCAGCGAAGCGCCTCCCGCAGCAATGGCGCCGACGTCGAAGCTGTCGCAGGGCATCAAGCGCGCGTCGCGGTCGCACACCTACCACCGCCGCGGGCTCTGGGCCATCAAGGCCAAGAACGGCGGCACCTTCCCCAAGGCCGGCAAGCCCGCCGCCGCCGCCGAGCCCAAGTTCTACCCCGCCGACGACGTCAAGCCCCGCGCCCCCAGCACCCGCAAGGCCAACCCTACCAAGCTCAGGTCTCAGCCATGCGACCAACTATCGGCTGCTCGTGATCTATGGATCGGTGTTCCTGAGTGATTTTTATCTGTTTGTTTGTTTGTTTGCGTGATGCAGGTCGACCATCACGCCGGGGACGGTGCTGATCCTGCTCGCCGGGAGGTACATGGGGAAGCGCGTCGTGTTCCTCAAGCAGCTCAAGTCCGGCCTGCTCCTCATCACCGGTAAACCCCTTCCCGCCTCTCCCCGTGCCTGTGATACTGCGATGATTGATTTTGGCTTGTGGCTGTGCCATCTGGGAAGCTTGTAGTGTGCGGATCTATGAATTGATTTTGTATAGTTGCACTTCGTTTGTTATTTAGTTCGGGAATTGTGAAATCAGTACCTGTAGCTTATGTCGATTTATATCTGATGCAAATGTGAGATTTATTACCCAATTTATAATCGAGTGTTCATTTCCCTAATAGATACTGTATTATTCATATCCATGCGATTGAGTCATGTTAATTGTTAGTAGTAACAACTGTATTATTAAGAAATAAAACCAAATAACTCAAAAAAAATGTAGGGCTAAAACTACTAAACTTTTGATGTTACTATGTTCTCTAAACCGCAATTTTAGTGCCTACTCTGAATTGCTCATAAGAGCTGGTCTTTCAAACAAGCAGGGACAATCAATCCATCATAGTTATTTTGGCAAATATTGTTTTGTTAGGAATCTTTTGCCTCATTGATATAGATTGAGCTGAAATTTGCATCTGTAATACAAAGATGTAAAATGGATTGTGCTGTTTTTTGTAATGGAAATTCCATATAACATGCACACTGAATGCAAAAAGGGAATTGTATATTTTTGCCACTCACCCTCTGGCATATTTTGATGTTTTTAGTAGAATGTAATAGTCTCACTTTGTTTTAATCAAGTTAATTTCATTTTGATGGGATCTGACCTAAGCCAGGAAATTGGTTAAGCTCTGATTACAATCAATGAATTGGTTGGGTTCAGATTTTTACAATCAAAGCACTGGATTTTGGCCTAAATTCTTATTGTTCTCCTTCAGGACCTTTTAAGATCAATGGAGTGCCCATCCGCCGTGTGAACCAGGCCTACGTCATTGCCACATCCACGAAGGTTGACATCTCTGGTGTTAAGGTGGATAAGTTTGATGACAAGTACTTTGCCCGGGACAAGAAGGCAAAGGCCAAGAAGACCGAGGGTGAACTTTTTGAGACAGAGAAGGAGGTATGTCTTGATTCTGTATGGCATTCCTCCATGGCCAGTTACCGGTTTAGCTCCAATGCTAACTCACCTGCCTATTCTCTGTTGAATCTTATAGGCAACCAAGAATCTGCCCGACTTCAAGAAGGATGACCAGAAGGCTGTGGATGCTGAGTTGATCAAGGCTATCGAGGTTGTCCCAGACCTGAAATCCTATCTTGGTGCCCGGTTCTCTCTCAGGGACGGCGACAAGCCCCATGAGATGACATTCTAAGTTAGTCGGTACAAGTTTCAAGTTCTGAGGAAGTCTTTTTGCCTAGTGTGTTTCTGTACTTCTGAATTTTGTACCCGGGTAGTGAACTCTCCATTTCTGTTGAAGTCTGCCTGTCAAATATTATGAGAAGATTAAGAGAAGGATTATCTACTTTGGTGGTTCATGGTTACCGTACCTACTCAAATGTGCAATGCATAACATTTGAGCCATAATTAAGCTATTGCGTTGCAAGTTGTGTACTGGTGTCTATTTGATTTTTTTTTTGCTTGTTTCCGCGAGGTTAACTTATTTAACTTTCAGTGCTTGATGCATGCCACTTAGGCCGGTGCAATGCTGACGAGTTGCCCTTAACGTTTCGGTTGTTTACAATTTGTTTCAACTTGTTTACGGATATATTGATTTAAACAAAAAAGCATGTATGAGTTTGATTTGCAGCATTAGTGTATAGACAAGATGATCTGATAAAAGAAGGGCGATTGCTGTGGTTGCAAACAGTAATAGCAGATGGCCGATTTCGCAACAAAACAAGGTAATAGCGGATTAGTAACATATCAGCGTGCTCGGCCAGATTTTGGACATCCCTATGGAGTGTGGGTGTCGGTAGGAGTACGAGGTTTATAGATTCAAGTATGCAAACGATAGTGAAGGTATGATCTAATAAGAGTGATTGCTCCGTCTCCTCCCGTAAAAAAAAAACAACTTATAACTGAATATGATTGTAACATAATACAACAAATCGTAACATTTATAATCGTATATTTGTCTTTTTCGGGATAGAGAGTAATGAAGATATAAGTGGTATTGAGGTGGTATATAAAACGGAGACAGGGAATGGTGGAAGTAGTGATGGTTGGTTGTATGTTTTACATGAGGAAAGGGAAATGAGTATCATTCAATTCTATATTTGTCTTTTTTGGGATAGAGTGAGTAATGACGATATCAGTGGCATTGAGGTGGTATATAAGACGAACTAAGAAAGGGTCGCCACCGCGGGAACGTGAACGGTTAGATCGACCCTACTGCGAGATCGAACGGACAATATTGGTGAGAACCAATATGTTATTAATAAAAACTTAGGGTTTTTTTTAAAAAATGCTGACGTGGCACGGTAAATTCTCAGTGATCCCATGGCATGTAGAGAGGTTAATATGTGGAAGGGCATGGGGAAGGGGCGAAGTAGTGATGGATAGCTGTATGTTTTATATGAGGGAAGTGAGATTAGGGAGAACGGATTGATGAGTGCATACAACGATAGATACATATTGTTGAATCTCAATAGAATGGACAAAAATGATTTAAAAAATATGCTAATAGCAATAATACATAGTCATATTTTGGCGCGAAAACTCAAAACTATGGTACAATCATATTTAATATATATTAGTGACGATGTGAGTGGCAGTGAGGTGCATATATGTGATAAATGAGTTAAAGGTGATAAGGCACATGGATAAAAGGGGTTCTTATTGTATCTTGTAACTGTTTATGATTAGGTGAGGTGATACTTGTTGTGTATGGGAAGGATGGAGAATCGGAGGCGGTGGTTGTTCATTTCCAGTATGTTTTACTCAAGAAATAGGAGCGTGGGAGAACGGATCAATAAGTCGATGTAATCATAAATAAAATACCATTGAATCTCAATAGAGTGACAAGTCAATTTTAAAATATGCTAATAACAATAATACCTTGTCTCTTTTTATTTGTTATGTGTTATTTTGGCGCAAAAACACCTAACAACGGTAACATCATGTTTACAATACATTTTTTCCAATTAAAACGGGAGAATATTTATTCTTTGTTTCTCTTTTCTATCCCGCTATTTGGAACAACGATCACTGTGACTAAACTACATTCTCTATTTTAAGATTACCTCTACATTAGTTTTCCTTTTCGTTTTTGTTCAGGTATATTTAATTGATGGCAAATACTATTAGTGCACCATAGTTGATGCAGAAACTAGGACTTTGCATTTTGCTTATCTAAATTAATAATTAAAAATAAAAACCTGAAATTGATATAATATTGTAAATACCGCTCTACAGTCCATCCATACATTATATATTTTTCAAATCCTTTTCTTTTGTTTCCCAATTTTTGTGTTGCTGGGTTTTTTGCTTTCCTCCCTTCCAAAATTCAAACGAAGCCCTAGGCTCCAAACAGCCCTAGGCTTTCCGCATTGCGGCGCGGCCTCAGCGGCGGCCGGCGGCGTGGGCTCCGGCGGCTCGAGCTCCGGCAGCGCCGGCGGCGGACGGCTTCCTTTTGGTCTTGCGCGCGTAGGTTGGATTGGATGTTTTTTTGCTGCCTCCGTTTCGATGATTTTTGTTTTTTTTTTGGTTTGCTCCATTTCCATTTACAGCCATTTCTTCGCCGCAGGAAATCGAAGCCTTCGTTTGACGATTCCTTCCCAAAGCTAAGCCCCTACCAAATGGAGAAGTTCCTCGTGGCGGCGCCTCCACCTTCCGGCGATGCTCCGGCGGCACCGGTTCCTCCGAGGTGCTCCCCCCTTCCCCGATCTCAGTACACCCGTTACTGAACTGGATTGCGTTTTTTTTTTCGCTTCTCTGACCTTATCTCGATCCGCAGACGGCACCGGTGGAGCCGCGTCGCCGCCGAGCTGGACGGCCGCATCGACGCTAGGTTTCGGCACCGGGAGTCCGTTCGCCTGCGCGATTCGTTCTCCGAGGTGACAGAAATCTCGGAAAAGAGCATTTGCTTTGTTTCCGTGTTGGTTATTACGAAGTTGTTTTCACTACTGGGATTACTGCATATGAGTTAGACACTGGAACTGGAATTCTCTAGAGCGGCTAACGACATATTTACTTTTTTGTTTCTTTTTAGTAATGCTAATCATAGGTTGTAGATTCCAATAGCAAAGCTGCTCCCTTATGTTTCTTCTGTTGCAATAAGCTGGTAGAAGTGCTAGAACTTGCGAAGTAGCACTTATAGGATGTCATTGGTCGCCCTGATCTCTTTCCGGTTGCTCAATGTTCTTTCCTGAGCTGGTGGTCAGGCATCAGGAAAGGGGTCCCTAACAGCTTAGGCGCGGGTTCGATACCGTCGTCGTGCTCGCTGCCTAGTCCATCTGGAAGGAAAGGAACAACAGGGTGTTCTATCAGCAGCAGCACTCGTGGCCGGACGTAGCTAGGGCAGCGGCAGAGGAGGCTGCCTTGTGGAGATCGGCAGGTCTGCTCCCGGAGTTGACAATCAGCATTAGGGTCGCAAAATTTATGCCGGGACATATCACCTTTGTAACCTTCTCTTTGTTTCTTTTTTCTGTCCGGGTTGGTTTGTAAGTTGTTGACTTTATTCCCTAATCGTAATACAAAGATGCGCAAATATTTTGCGCATTCTCGAAAAAACAAAGCTATGGCCCTTTTTGATTTAGTAGATCAAGAGTTTGTGTCAATGTCCTCCAAGGTTCAAATTGGTGCTTATGGCTCTATGCTCGCTGCTGGAGATGTGGAAAATATTGTTTAAGAGACCATCTCAACTCGTGTACAATTCTATAGATGTAATATGAATCAGCCAGTAGCATAAAGGTATAACTTGAAATAGAGCTTATGACATGTACTTTATTAACTATCCTAGCACAGTATCTTTCTTTGAGAATGGCAGAACCGTGTATGCCATCATAGCAGGGTTTTAGTTTTGAATTCTGCAGGACAACAAGGAGGGTGGTTTTAGTTGTTACTATGCCAGTTTTCCAGTTCTTTTTTTTTAAGGAAAACCATTTTCATGTTTTATTGCAACATATTTTATTGGATTTTGATTAATTTATTTATTTTTATGTTGGGAAGATAAGGACCTTCAGTCACAATTACTACATGGAAGGCCAGGAGCGATGTACAACATATGTAATGCTCATCCTGTGCTTTTTTAAAAATCTTTTTTAGTGTGCCTCTCCCCTACCTTATTTCTACCGACAAGGCTCATTATGTACCTTGTAATGTTGAATCCCTGTTCGTTATTTGACTGATGAGTTCTACCATTGCTCCTATCAGATGAATCGAGTTGTTAACGATTCAGTCCTGGGATTTCAAGCAGTAAGGTCAGCATTTTTATTTTATGTTATTTGCTGTATTTCATTATAAAAGCACAATTTTAAACTTTAAAGTAGTTGGCTAGTTGCTATAATCTCCTTCCTAGAGTTTCACTCTGCTGTTTGTAGCCATCCTTTTAATACACTAATAACCTTGCCTTTTTTTTTTCTTTTGGCAGAGAGGGGATTTCAGCAATGGAATTTGATAAAAAGGTAGCGTTGAAATGTCAGTTCAATTTTCCTTGTTTAGCATGACTGCCTACTGCAATTGCTTGTAGGCTGGAACATATATTTTTTTTTGAAGACTATTGTTACATATTGTTCTGTAAAAGGAAAAACAATATTTATGCAATAATACGTTGTAATTTAGAATAATGCCATTAAAAGTTTCCTTTTTCATACATGCCAATGCCATCGCATAGTTTCTAGTAAGAGACATGCCATTATGAGCTACTGGTGTGCACATTTTACCTAATTACCCCATCTTCGTCGCTTTCCTCCCAACCTTTCTCTACTTGGCTTCCATGCCCACGGTATGCACTACGATAGTGCAGCTGCCTCTGCCATCTGGTTCTACTAGATCTGTCATCTGAGTCTAGCAGGAGGTGGCTGAGATAGAGTGGCAGCATTGGAGGAGGATCGACAGCACCATTGGGGTAGGGTGGATGACGGTCCTTTGCATGCAACGCACCTATTGCAAAGTGCTGGCACCTTCCTTGCAGCACTGGCAGCCATGGACTTTGCTAGCAGATCTGTCCATGTGGCTCCCTTGTTGGCAGCACGTCCATGTTAACTCCAATTTGTCTTGTAGCGTTAGGCCGTCCACATCTTGAACGGCAGCCTCCACCTTTGAGGGATCCAATTCATGTCTCCAGCACACCTCCCATGCTCAAGAGGTGTGCTGGAGATGGGAGTGGAGGAAATGTGGAAACTGTGGGAACATGGGAGATGGTGGAGAGACTGAAAGGGAGGAGAGAGCAAGAAAAATGGGGCAAATAGGTCAATTTGGATATCCAATGGCATATGGTGAACACATCAACTTTGTAATGGCATGTTTCTAAGCATAAATTTGTGATGGAATATCTAAACTATAATGTTTGAAATGACATTTATCTATTTTTCCTATATAAAATGTTTACACACATTTCTTGTGTTTCTGATTGGCAGGGAATATACCTTGCATCAGTTACAGCCTCGGGATGTTTAACCGTGCATGATTTTGAGACCTTATACTGCTCCACATATGGTCCATCACGGGGTAAGTTAAAACAGAGCCCAACTTGACCATCTAAGAGATTAAATTGGATTATATCAAGTCCACAGACATGTCGGAATCCCCTTATACATAAGCAAGTACTCAAACCGTTATACATAAGCAGACCAAGAGTGTGAGTGTAGTTTTAAAATGTGGATATTTCCTTTCTAGCACAAACCATTATGTGTTTATAAAATTGCTTTTCCTTGTCACTGAGATAGACCTGCCTTTTCTTGTCAATGTGATATTGAAGTTAAGGACTTAATTCTTTTTCCAAGAATATGGGTACACTTCTGTAGTTTTTGTTACTGCATTATTGTTGGTACAAAATGATGCAATTCAGCATTCAAACTTCTACACATCTAGTTGGAATATATGCATCTGAGAGCACACCAAAAGAATTGCAATGGTGACCAATGCATCATTTCCATTTTTTTGGAATGAAACTACAGTTAGGCGCACCCAGCAGTTAATTTTATAAATTGGGTAAACAATTTGTACAAAAAAGGAAAAGAGACAAACAGTTTCAATTACAAAGTTTATAACCAGGCAAGAACAATGCATTGTTTCATTTTCCAACAACATACTCTAAGAGAAGGGATAAAGTGAGAGGTGGCACTCCAAATGTTCTTTCTCAAAAGTTGTTATAATTTCTTGATAAGTTGCTTTTTTTTGTAAGGTTCTCCATAACTTTCTGCCTTTGTATTTATCATAATCCTTCTGCAATTTACTGTTTGTTGGTAGGTTTGCCAGATGAATCATCAAACTATTTGCTACATATATCAAACTCAATGCCCCTATGTGCTGTCCGATGGAATCCAGCAAATCAAGATGAGGTCTGTAATTGTGCACTAGCTGAATCTTTATGTGTGTGGTATTTTAGATTTCTAGCTTATTTCAGATCAGAAAGTACTTTGTCGATTTAACATTGATGGGTTCATTTTGTAAGGATGAACCGTGTCTTGTATTATCTGTCATTCTATTTCTTATTGTTGTATGCCTGCTGAGGATAGTTTGTACATGTATACCAAATAACATGGACACCTGTTTGATATTGGCTATGTCCCATCAGTGGCAAATCTTCTTCTCCATCATTTATCTCTTATAATTGCATTCATGCTGCAGATAGTTTGTGTATCTAGACAAACTGACATGGTTCTCCTGTTTGATATTGGCTGTGTCTCGTCCACGCCAACTGAAGTAAGTGCCCTTTTCCCATTTATAGTTCGTTTTGTCTTCTCTCATTACAAGAACTGTATTCTAGTAACTCTAGATCAAATACTTTTGCTTTGCTTTGTTTGCCAATTTTAACTCACCGACCTTCTGTTATTAATAATTTAGATTTTACGGAAAGGAAGATCCAGATATCCTGTGCTCTCTGAATTCCGCAAAGGTTTGACTGATGTAGCTTTTTCTTCAGATGATAAGTCATGGTATGTGACAAAATTTGTATTGTTCACCCTTGGCATGCCAATTATGTTTGCTTCTTTTAAATAATGCAACCGTAAATGCATAAACTATTGCTAGCTAGTATTTGATGTAAAGCTTGGCTGTGATTGACAGCATATTGTGTTCTTTCTTAATTTAGAAGTTGAGGTTAATTTTAACCCCTATTGTACATACAATACTATGTAAACCCAGGAATTCTACAAATTTTGCACATTGCAATGATATTTCTTTTGTTGTTTGGGTGGGCATGGGGTATGTTAATATAGAAAATAGGATTATAGCCAGGGTATGTGGATTGACTGGATTCTGCTTATGGTGGTTGTTGGTTTGTAAAAGCAAGCTACTACAGAGATTGCCAACAGCGTCCCTCTTCTTGTTTTTTAAATGAAACAATGTTGTTACTAATATGCTATGCTTATTTGTGCTCCTTCCTTAGGTTATTTGCATCTGGCCTTGATGGAGCGGTCTTCATGTGGGACATGCGGCTAAGTAAAAAACACTGTCTTGAGCTCATAGGACATCCAGAATCTCAATTTAGCAGTGTCAAGCTAAATATAGATAACCGGGTACGCTAATTTAGCAGTGTCAAGCTCTTTGCCTCTTTAGCTTTCTGAATTATGTTCTCATATCGACCTATCTCTGTTTAAGATTCTGAGTTTCCAACTTGGCTTGTAAATTGAACTTAGTGTTACAGAATTTTAGAGATGTAAAAAGAAGTTTGGTTATTTGTGTTAAAGTTTGGGCCATTCATAGATGGAGGCTGACAGTTTATTTTCTAGACCGTGTTTGCTGCAACTAAAGAGGGCACCGTTCATGCCTGGGATCTCCGTGGAGGGAGGGCATCAGCTGCTTTTCAAAGCCATAATGAGGTACTCTGCTAGCTCTTCCTCATTTTTATGCGGTATCGCACCATCCTACTTGATCTTCATTTTGATAATTTTTATGATCATATATTCAGAATAGCAAACTTCTGTTCATGATTTTTTCTTTTGGGTCTAGGTTCAACAATTATCATCAGTGAAGATATCAACTTTGTTGGGCAAAATTCCATCGCTAAAGGTATGAAAAACAAAAACAAACTTATGATTGCGCATAAGGAAATTAATTTCTCCTTTTGCAAGTTTCCATTCTTGTGAGCATTTAGATGTTTCATGTAGTCACAGTATCGGTGAGATGTGAATTATCAAATTCATATAGAGTACTTATTAAATACCCAAATTTAGAATTAATGCTAGCTATTGTTTTGCATGCAACTATTAAGTTTGATGATATTGACTTGCGGTAACTCAGTAGAATATAGAACGCCAAACGGCAATGATATATCCCTCTTGAGCTTGTTTACTCTTCTGAAAACTGTTTACCAGAAAAAAAAAACTATATGTATGTTAACTTGTCAATTCTCTTGGGTCAAGTTTTTTCTTTTGAAAATTTTGAAATCTTGATATTTGGAACAAACCTAACAGTCATTATGCACATCTAGCTGAAAAGGGAGGTCACTGGGGATTTATTTAGTGCTTTAAACCAGTCAGATTATGTATTCTTGCTGCGAACTGGCAGTTTGCTTAGTTTTTGCCATATCAGGAAGTACCTAAACCCTGGACATACTTCTGTTGTCCTAAAATAAGTTCATTTCTTGCCATTGGGATTAAAATTAGTATGGAGGGAAAACAACAAAATGACACATCTCAAGTAATGAAATGGAGGGCATGGTTTCTACGGCTTGTTTGAAGCTATTATAACTCATCCTCCAATTGGCACCTTCATTAAATGTGAGATAGATGGTATATCATCTAATGGGGGTTTCCTTGCTACTATATATATTATTTTCTTTTAACATATTTGATCACTGTCTTCAGGACCAAACGAACATTGTGTCGAGTGAAATTCTTTCAATAGACTTCAACCCTAGTTGCTCATATCAGTTAGCCTTCCATCTTGACAATGGCTGGTAAGTAGTGTGTTGCACTGTTATTAATTATCTGACTGTAAAGCAAGGTTACTTTGTTGACTTATTGGAATTTTCCATCCACCATCCTTTCGGGTGACATATTTAATTACTCTTCTACTTGTTTAAGTGTTCTGTGCTATGGTCTAGATCTCAGTGACAATCTTTTCCATATGCATGTTAGGTCTGGAGCCTTGAACATTAACACCCTCAGTGTGAGTCACCTGCACTGCCCTCCTCCTGATTGGTTGTAAGTAGATTACTTCTGCCTTCACAAATCTTCTTAGTCAAAGTAACCTTTGCTAATTGGACCTATTGTTTTGTTGTTCTCTTCTGTTTGTTTTACTAGGGAGCACATGAACTTCATGTGGCAAAAGCTACATAGAAAACCGACCTGGTTGCCGACATCTTCAGTAAGAATATTATAGATCACATGCAATTCTTTTTATTAAATTTGAAACCTGCATATCTTGTTGCAAGGTGAAAAGGATTTCAATAATGCTGAATAAGGCACTTTCATTTATCACTGTAGTCATAATAATAAATATCTCATCTGGCATTGAAATACATTGGAGCTAGATGCATAACATACACTTTACATTATCCAGATTTATGCAGTTGGATCTGCCTCCAATACTGTTGGCATGCATCTACTGGATTTTCATCCAGATACAAGTTCAGCATGCCATGTCGACTACAAGTGAGCTGATATTTGCTTTCCTTTTCTTCTTAATTTACACAATCATACATTTTGTCAACAATCTTCTTTGGTCTTTATTCTCACTTGGCATTCCATGTTTCAGTGAGGAAATAAGAGGCTCCGATGAAAAGAAACCTGCAGCAAACAAGTTTATTCCTTCATCTCAGAGAGTTGTTTCCTGTGCAGCACATCCCTTCTGTCATACTATACTTGCCGGTACTCAGGTTAGTTCCCTTCCATCTTCAGTTACTAGAATGACCTCCATCTCGGCGTATAATTGGGAAAGCTATATGCATTACGCATCAGTTGCAGATCTGAGTCTGTTGGCAAAAGTTAACTTCTTGTTATCCTCTTCAGTTTTCATCTTTGCTCGTGTTATCGCAAAAGCAAGAGTCTATCAAAAACTCGGAGTAGCGGTGTCATGGAACAATCTTGATTTGCCTCCAAGACAATATCTCCAAATGCAGTCACAGTGCTCTACATTAGCTCGTGGGCCGTCCTGCATCGGAGAATGATCAGCCGCATGGGAGCACAATCTATTGGTCCCACCACAGAGGCTCCCAACCTGATCGACCGGTCAAAAAGAACTAAATCTCTTGGCGTTACATGATTCGATCTTCTGCCAGTGCATTGCCTCCAAGATGGGCGACAGATTTCTGTGTTGCAACCGACCATGTATGTACTTTCATGGCATGCTCCTAGGGGCTCTGAAGGTTCGCTTACCTGTACATGATTTCCCCCGTTCCCTGAACTCCCTATCTCTGTAGATCGTACATAAGTTGTGTTTCCCAGTTTCTCGCAATGTCGGTGTATCTCCTGGATGTAATACTGTATAATGAACTGCTTCATCCGTTCCAAAATATAACATACTGGTACTAGATTATACATAACCTAGTGCCAACATGTATCCTGTGCGGTTGATGCCGCTGCTGATCCAGACCGTGGTTGTCCTGGGCTCCTGGCCGGCGGCGCCGTTGGGGTGGCGGTCAGCAAAGGAGGCGGTGTGGGGGATGCATGCTCACCGAGCCAGGAGGCCCTGGACAGCTCTCACCGGAGGCGGCAGAGATGGCACAGAGATTTCGACAGGTTGAGCCGAGCAGGCATCAGTCAGTATAGTGCGCAGGCTTCCGTTTCCGTGCTCTGATCAGAAGCGAGCGGCTCCTTCCCTGCATCAGTTTCTGCCGCAGCGTGCGCCCTTCTCCGTGGAGGCCTGACATGGAGCGCCAGTGTAATCGTGTGGAGAGCACACGCTGCATGCGGTCGTCTCTGGCGCCGGCACCGGCACGGCGGCAACCGTCTCTTGCGCGGCCGGGCGCATGGTATCACCGGCTCACCGCTGGTGAAAAGGGAAAAACGAGATTTGGAGGGAGAGACACCCCTCTAAATACTTTTTTAAAGAAAAATTATGAGTGTGTCAATTGAACATGAGACTTTAGGGTTGAAATTATAGACCACTTGTCACTACACTATCAGGTGCATCTTGTAGCACCGCCAGTGTCCAGGTGGCCTCCGCCTTCAAAAAGTATTCGCCTTGTTTTTGTTCGCCCATGCGAATAATTCCTCTTTTATTAGAGAGCATGAGAAAGTTGCTTGAAATCATCGTAGTGTTAGCTAACAGCAACTGCCAGTCACTATTTTCTGCTTCGGTTGCTCTTCCCTTCTCTTGTCTAGCAAAAAGGATGATGTGATCTGCTGCTAAATCTGGACAAAATTTCCCTTTTTTTTTTGCCCAGATTTAAATATTGTTTGAAAATTTCGTTCAACAATCGTGATAAAAATCCTGAAACCTCCCAAAATTCAGAATATGGGTGCCCCAAATTTTCTTTTCCCCTTCCGAAAGTGCAAATCAGCAATGGGTCAAAGCATGTTTGTTTCAGATGTTTTCAACAGAGGAGTTATAAAAGCTGATGCACATAAATATGAAGATCGGATCCTTCAGGGCACTTCTTCGAGAATCTAGAATTCTACAAAGAAATGGTGTTTGCATGTGGCTGTGTTCTTTAGTCTGCTTTCTCTCATTTTTTCGCGCGCACGCTTCCTAAATTGCTAAACGATGTGTTTTTTTGCAAAAAAAAATCTATAGAAAATACTTAATTAATCATGCCAAATCGTTGGAAATGTTCCCAACTCCAACTAGGGAACACAGAGGATTGAGAAGCAAAGGACATTGGGGTCCTTGATAGAGGAGGCAAGCTAGGAAGGTGTATGAAGCTGAACAGGTGGAAATGCTGAGAAACGAGAAGCCTGCCATCCAGGAGGCTGAGAAGGAAGAAGTGATTCCCATGTGCACATTAGACCACTTCTTTTGTGTTTGTTCATTTTCAGTATCTTTTGTGTTTGCTTATTTAACATATGGAAAAAACTGATACGATCAGTGTATGCTTGTTTCAACTTAGATAAATCAGACTGGTGTTCCTCCTACCTGAATTAAAATCATATATTGAGGTGTTCGAGTCATTTTGATCATCTTTTCCATTGGAATTGTTGATTCCTGGAATTGGAGCTGTGCTAAATATACCCATGCTTGCCATGCCATGACGCAATAAATAACAGACCTAGCACACATCTCAGCGTGTATCATACGGTAAAAAAAAATCGAGTGATAGCTAAGAAAAATCGTTTCGAGTGAGATATATTTCAATGAAAAATCATTGGTTGAAACAGAAAATTGGGGTTACGGAAAAAAATATTTCAATGCCGCCTTTTCTCCCAAATAAAATCCCCATCTTTATTTAGATCGTCGTACCTTTTCAACCAAAAAAAGGGAAAAATGACAGTTGATCACCAAGACAATCTTAAAGACTGAATCTTGCTACCAGCTTGGAAGCATGCAAAACTGAGATAGGCCTCTATGATTTTCTAGTAAAGCAGTATAATTTCCATTGGGAAATCACCAACAACGTGCAAAGTTCTGATGATTTCTACTGCTCAATACTGTATAATCAAGTAAATCAGGACGTTATGCGACGAGTCACAATGTTCACACCAAAGAGAAGTTATGTTCTACGACAGAAGTGCCATACTGTAGTTAATACAATAACAGAGTCACAGAAAATCTTGTCTTGTTAGCTACTAACAGTTGTCGATGTCTCAATGGAGCGTGCAGTAAAAATATACAGAAGCTATACACAGTTGAAGGTCTGCTGCAGTAAGCATGTACCAGTACGACGAATGGTATTATCAACAGCTAATCCTATCTATGCCCTCAAGAAGAGAGCTAGGCTACCCCCCCATATCCCAGGGTCCTCAAGCAGAGATCCCCCTCAATGGTACACAAAACTGAGCACCATGCCTCAACAAGCCCAGGATCACAGCAGGGATGGAAGAAGAGCAGCTGATGCAAAGGGTTTGGCTAGGACTAGCGGCTAAGAAAGCAGCAGACAAGTGGGAAAACCTCGCAGTTGCAGGCCTGAGCAGGCCTCACTCTCTCCTCTGGACAGTGTGATCAGCTCATCTCATCTCATCTCATCTCATGGACAACAGGGTGCGCTTCTGGATGGTCACCTTGGAAGGCTGAGCAGCCTTCGGAGCTCTCTTGAGGTTCTTCCTTACCATCTTCTCTATCTGCTCTATGGAGCTGGACAGTTCCTTCTCCATGAGATCAGCAAGAGCTGGATCATTTGGTCTGGATGGTGTCTGAAAGGAGCAGTCAGATGGAGAAGAAGATGATGCCTTCGGCTTGCCCTCGGCCAAGTAAGCTGTTGATGTGCTTGCAACAGCTTGGGTTGAGCCAGGACAAGGGGCAGCAGCATCCAGGGCCTTTTGAGTTGGTGGTGTTGGTGTGCTTTGAGGGACACCTTCTTCTTTTTGTACTGGAGTTGCTGGATCCACAGATCGTGAAGAATCTTCACTCAACTGGATCTGCTGCCGAACCGCAGCATTTCCGAGGCGACTTTTCCTCTCAACTGCCTGCAAATGGTAGGTAAAATTATAAGCATATTGTCATGGATGCGTGATTATATCCATTAACTTGAAGGATGTATCAGCATTGTTATCCTGCTACGACTCAGTACTGCACAAGCATATGTTCAACATATGAGCATAAATACAACTACAGGGAAAAAAAGGCATGAATAACTATAAAAATGACAGAGAACTATGTACAACAAAATGAACAACAAAACCCCTTTTCTCTTTCCCCCAACGACAGCATTGAAGCAAAATGTGAAATCTGGATTAACTGGTATTATAATAAAATGAGATATATAACTCTGGTTGTTTGACACTGCGGAAAATACACTTATTTTTGCTATGAAGATAAGGACTAATATATCAGCTAGCAAGAATTTCATCAAGGCCAAAAAGGAGCTGTTTTGTATTTAAGCAGCTATATACACAACAAGCCGAAGTACTGAATATGTACCAATCAAAGTACTTCAAAAAGTTATCCTTAAAGTTTAACAGGAAAGTATCTGTTAAACTATCGAACACTGAGTAAAATTTAACAGGAGAAGAACAGAAGAAAGCACTGTAGCAAAGCCAAACTGAAATCGCACCCGGTAAACTACAGCTTGATGAATACATTTAGTTCAATTTTTTCAGGTTAAGTGAATCTCAAAAGATATGACTACTGGCAAGGCAAGCAAGTTAGGCTGTTGCCAAGGTTCTATATAGCACAAATTCCAACATTGAGGTATTTCCTCATCCTCTATTACCTTCGGTGCACACCATTGAAAAAAATGTATATAACTAAAAAATGCACCTACCTCTATAATGCAAAGCAGCCATGAATTATGATTCATGATAAAACAGACCCAATCCCCCAAATTGGTGGCTCTTTAGTTTTAGTCCATAAAGTGTACAACCAACAAGTCCAACGAATCACACATATCATAGTTGATTCCTCACATGATCAGAAGATCATTAAGAAATGCAACAGACATGAAATGGATGAATGGCACATTTACATGTTTTAAGCCTGTTATTTCACTGAACTTCTCAGAAAATTAATCAGTATTTTATCTGATTACTGGTCACTTAAAATGACGGATAGGCATATCAAAACAGATAAAGAAAAAAACAAAAAAAACACCATTTGTTCAGAAGAAAGTCCCTCGTTGCTTCTTACTAACAAAATTCAGCGATTTTGTTGCAGTGACAGAAAAGATGCCCAATTATAACCAGCAGTAGCCAGAAGACACTTAATTTGCTAGACTGCAACTATTGCTAGTAATATTCACAATAGGTAACCAAGACATCCTCAACTCAAGCCTAATCACAATTTCAGAATCATGTGCACAACATTTAGCATTACCATATCACCGTGAACATATCATGCATCAAATATAACCTAACCTGAACACAACAATATATTGACACAAATCCTCAAGAACATACCATGCATAAAAACCTAAAGTATTAAAACATGATATTAGCACAAAATGACCACACAATTTTACAGGATTCAGAGAACATCCACCACAAAGCCCATGGGAACTGTTCATCACCTTGACGACTGATGTGATATCATGGAGTGGGCTACACGACATATAATGCAAATTTGTCATGAATTATGATGATTCATGTTATAACAGACCGAATTCCCCAAGTGTGTACAACCAAACAAGTACAACAAATTAGACATGTCATAGTTGATTACTCACATCAGAAGAGCATTCAAAGTTTAAGCCTGTTATTTCACTGAACTTCCCTGAAATTTTGCATAGTATGTCATCTAATTACTGATCACCTAAAATAAGATAGACAGATCGAAGAAGATACAAAAAAGAGCGAAGAAGCATCGGTTGGTGAAGTCCCTCATTGCTAATTCATTTATAGTCTGATATGATTTTGCAAGTATAAAAAGGTACTAATTGATTATAGTATCAAGCAATTGTGTTCCTCATTTTAGTGATTGAAATGCTTACTAACAAAATTCAGGGACTTTGTTGCGATAAGCAGAAAGAAATGCATATTTATCATCAGTAGTAGTCGAAGGACACCTTAATTTCCTAGACTGCTACTCTTGCTAGTGATATTCACTATCTGTAAAGAATTCAACCTCGAACACAAGACCACCACAATTCCAGAATCACGAGCACACCAATCTTAGCACTATCATATCTTCAAGAACATACCATTCACCAATTATACCCTACCTAAACATGATAACTGACACAAATCCTCAAGAACACACCATGCATCAAAATAATAAAAACCTGAAGTCCTACACATGATATCAGCACACAAAAAACGACCACACCAATTTCACAGGATTCAGAGCACATCCAACCCACCACACAGCCTACGGGAATGGTTCATCACCTTGACGACTGACGTGATGTCGCGGAGTGGGCTCCTCGGGTACCACTCGGGCAGGGGGCTCCTCCTCTTGGGTGTAGCCCTCACGGTCACAGCCCAGGACGGCGGCACGTTCTCCTTGTTGCTCGTCGGCGGCAGGGCCCGCCGAGCCAGCGGCTTGACCGCCACGGCTCCCGGCGGCGACGTCGTCCTCCTGATAAAGAACCCACCACCCGAGGGGTCGGCGAGCGCCGCCCTACCGCCGGAATTTCTCACTTCAGGCATCCTGGAGATCTGCGAGAAGAACTCATGAGCAACTAATGGAATGAAGATTTTTCGCACAAATTCTGCGCGGCTCAGATTTGGCTCCTGCCTCTTCCAAGTAAAAAGAAAAAAAAACCACCAAGACAAGAAATTGCCCCCAAGAAACACCAGAAAACATCTAAGCTCCGGTTTTTTCAACTCAGATTCGTCCTGAAATCCTCTAATCCCCATCGATTTGCAACTAAATGACCCAGAAAAAAAACACAGAAGGGTTTGGGGGAAACGAACACGAACCAACGAATCCCCACAAAAAAACCAACCAAATCTCCCAAAATTCAGCCATCTCACCTTCAGATTCCTGCCGCTGCAACCCCCCGCACGCGAATCCTATCCCCTCCCGCAGATCTGCAAAAGATCAGAATCACACCACAACGCATCAGGAAAAGAAAATAATCGCCCAAAGAAACCCAAGAAAACAAACACCACCCCACCCAACCAAAAAAAAAAAAAACGCGAAAACAACCTACGATTTGCTCGGCTCTTCTCCGATTCCTTCCGATCCGGGCCCCGCGGCGACTACTAACTCCCCTACGATAGAATCACCTAACTATGGTGGAATAGATCCCTAGGGTTTGGAGCTTGGAGGTGGCTATGGCTATGGCTATGGGCTCTAACTAACGGGAGGGGGGGAGACCAGGAGAGGCGGCGCGTGGGCGGGGGGATTCTTATCGCGTTTTGAAATGGCCGGTGCACGGCGTGATCCGTGGACCGAGAGCAGCATCTCGCCGTCCGTAGGAGGGATGGACGGCGGGGATTGTTCCGGTGTATGGACCACGTGTATGCGGTTTGGGGATTTGGAGTTCTTGACCGTTGGTTGCTTTGCTCTGCTCTCTCGGCTGAGAAGTGAGAACTCTGCATCAAGGTGTTCTTTATTATTATTATTAATTTATTTTTTGGAATTTGGACGGTAAAAATTGCTCCGAAAATTGGCACATGATGATTATTTTTTGAGCCTCAAATGGGAGCATCGATTTTTATTCATCTCTATTAAAATATGGAGTATATATTTACAACAAAGTGTTCCCTAGAAAACTGATTTCAAGTTGTTGAGAGAACATGACAAACATACTTCGACATGTGGGACTTTGTCTATAGTTTGTGTATTACTGCTCTTGTTTTTAATTCATATAATATCATGTATGCCATTGTGATTAGGCACCTTTGGCGTATCGTAGGGACATGTGCCTCCGACATGTGGGACCGTAAGGGTGGCCCCACCAGTTAGGGACTCGCGCCACTACCCGTAACTCTGTAAGAGGAGTTGATTCCAAGCCATTGATGATCGAATTACGTTTGTGCCAGAGCTTGCTAGTGCTCTTGCTGTTGTGGATGGTGGTGGCGGAGCTTACTGCTTATGAAAAAAAAATCAATGTTACAGAATATGGACCGATATGTGATTTTGTGGACTATAGAGTTCCTAGAGAGTTGTGACTATGCATTTCCAGCTTCATATACTCAGAAGAACAAATATGTCTTTTTTACTTAGGAGTTAACGGTCAATACACAGTCAACATATAGGAGTGATATAAGAGGGTGTAGAAATTTAGACCAATGGCATATAAGAAATTAGGACAATTTTCAGTGGCATATGAGATTCTCTCATATCTAGTTACACGGCAACTCGATCTTGTTTTTACGAGTTCAACTGCAACAACATTACTTGAGCATAGACGTACTCGTTATAAACCTCTAGACATTATCCATATCTTGAGAACGAAGGCGGAGGTTAAGGATCCCTGTTCTTTGCTCTATCTTCCAAACTCAAGCTCGCTCGTTTTCTTTCTGTACGCTTCCCAAATGTACTAATCTATATGTTTGAGTACTAAACTATACGTTTTCTAAAAAAAATTCTATACGAAAGTTGTTTTAGAAAATCATATTTAAAATTAACTACTCCGTTTTACGTGAGTATGAAATTAGTTCCCAACACCACATGCCGAAAGCTACGAGGCAAGGCATAGAAATCATTCCATCGTTGTCAAACACCCTAGCAAAGAGCAACAACGCGTACAGTACCCCCAGCTTGTCTCGCTTCGAACACAACAACATCCATCGCCAGAAACTGCAACGGTCGATCCAAGCAGGAAGATGCTACTGGTTTAGTAGCATGGCATGTCCCCATCTCAAGGAACACTAGTTGATGCGAAGGAAGGACTTATGCCTGGTGTGTTTGGATTGGCATGGCCTATGGGGACAGATTAGAAGTAAGCGCTCCCATGATGTGCTTAGCTGATAGGTGCATTCTCGGTGCCTCCCAACCTCAATCCAGCTCGTGTGGTCTGTGAGAACTGAAGATTATTTCGGCTCAAGATTGTACCAAGGATGCAGAAATGGTTTCCGTTTAGAAAAGATGCAGAACTAGGTGTATGTGTAGGAAGAAGAGGCAGATGGATAGCTGCTGATGACTTTGAAGTTGAAGTAGGTGAGAAAGAGGACTAGTGAGGCAAATATCTTGCCTTTTTTGTTTCGCAAAATCAAGTGGAGTAGGTTTCAATTTAAGAGAGGTTAAAGACAAGCAAAGGAGTAATGTGGAGCAGATAGAAAAAGAAAAAAAAGACGAATTACCCCTCGAACTATTATGGTCGTCCGAATTACCCCTCTAAACCATAAAACCGAACATCCTTTACCCCCAACTATGCAAACCGGATGAATTACCCTCCTCGACCCAATCTACGGTGGTTTTGGTCTACGTAGCGTACGCGTGGCAGTCCAGTCACCACTCTATTATAAAAAAAAAATGTGGGACCCACCTGTCATCTCCTCATTCTCTCTTCTCTCTCTCACTCTTCCTCTCTCTCTCAAACGGGTCGGCGGCGGTGGGGGAGGACGTGGTGGCGGCGGTGTGCGGGCGGTGGCGGAGCGCGGGGAGGACGCAGCGGTGGCTCGTATATCCCGCGTGCAGGAGCTCGAGCTTGCTCGGCGGCTCGTCGATCCCGCGAAGGAACTCGAGGAGGGGCGGTCGCCATCGCCATCACTCGCGCCGCGCGCCGTCGCCATCTCCCCTCGAGCCCCGCCTGCGCCGCGCGCCGTCGTCCGTCGTCGCCGTCGCCTCGAGCCCCGCTCGCGCGCCGTCTGTCGCCGTCACCCCGCGCCAGTGTGCCCGCGTGATGCCGCCGTCGCGTCTCGAAGGAGGCGAGCGCGGCGACGGAGGAGGCAAGGGGGCGGCGGAAGAGCGCGGTGGAGTCGGAGTCCTCCACCTAGCCTACTCCGCCCTAGCCGCCGGAGTGCTCGTCTCCCCTCCAAGGCCGCAGCCTCCTCCGCCGCCGCCGCCTCTCCTCGCCTCACCTCGCCGCCGCAGCCTCCTCTGCCGCCGCAGCCTCCCCTCGCCTCACCTCACCGCCGCAGCCTCCTCCGCCAGTGCTCGCCTCCTCCGCTGCCACAGCCTCCTGCGCCGCCGTCACCTCGCCTCGCCTCACCTCGCCGCTGCAGCCTCCTCTGCCTCTGCTGCGGCGGCCGCCTCGCCTCGCCGCCGCAGCCTCGCCTCGGCGCCCTTCCCTCGCCCAGCTGAAGAGAGAGAGAGAGAGTGAGAGATTGGGAGAGAAAAAGAGTAAGAAACTTACAGGTGGGATCACCTATTTTTTTTATAAATAAATTGCTGACTGGACTGCCACGTAGGATCAAAACCACCGCGGATTGAGTCGAGGGGGGTAATTCGTCCGGTTTGTATAGTTGGTGGTGAAGGATGTCCGGTTTTGTATTTCAGGGGATAATTCGAACGACCGCGATAGTTCGGGAGGTAATTCGTACTTTTTCCATAGAAAAACTTGCGCGGTAGGAACAACAATCACACATCTCACAAAATTGTTCACATGAGATCGAAGATTCCAAATTAATTCTACTATCAGTAGAGCTATGAGAAGTGGGTGCACGACTTCAAATCACAGATGCAAAACTAGCATACTGCAGGACAACGCTATCGGCTGATTGAAAATCCAATAATATGAATAATAACATAGCATTGATTGACTGGCTACTGCAGAGCAGTGCTCATACGAACAAAAATATCAAGATTTTGATTTAATGAAAAATTAAGACACAGCCACGATGTGGCTCCATGTCAGTGTTCGTAACAAGTTTGCAAGAGAATTTATGTATGCCAGTATTGGTAAAAAAGAGAAGCTTTTTTTTTTACTAAAAAAATAGAAGCTTTTGGACAAAGGAAAAAACACATCACAAGCCGTCGATCAATAGTTTGACGAAAAAATAACTAATTACACAGATTGCATGTAAATTACGAGACGAATCTTTTAAACCTAATTGCGTCATAATTTGACAATATGGTGCTACAATAAATATTTACTAATGACGGATTAATTAGACTTAATAAATTCGTCTCGTGGTTTACATGCGGATTCTGTAATTTATTTTGTTATTAGACTACATTTAATACCTTAAATGTGTGTCCGTATATCCGATATGACACGCCAAAACTTTACACCTCTGTATCTAAACACAACCTGAACTTGCTGCAGGTTTGCACATGTTAGAACTCACTAATCAATAATTTTGCTGAAAAGCTAGACACATACGGGACTACGGGAGTCTCGAGTTACAATTTTTGGTTTATGGCGTACTACGAGCAAGTTTAATAGTACAATTAGTTACAAGCTATAATTTTATACATGTCATCTATAGATAGTTTTAGAGATAATTTCTACAATAGATATCTCTAATCTCTTCACTATACACTTGACTATACAGTGGGTCCTACCCTCCTCTCTCCCTCCTACCTTTTCTCTTTGCCCTCCTGTCTTGTGCGCAGGCTAACATGGTTTCACCAATCACAAATTAAGAACTGAACATGAAATGGGGCTCACCAGGTGTGGAGGAATGTGCTGCAGCTAGCGCTTATTTTGTCGCCCGCATTCCTTCTCTCTCTTAGAGCAGGTTTAATTAAACAGGCGACTGCCGGCGGTAAAAAACACCACATCAGCGATAGAGATAACTAGAAGATGGGTGTATGTACAGCTGTTGGTTATACGCACAAGCACCAATAAATTGATTATTATTTTTTTACGCCTAATCCGTACCCACGCATTGCCTCACATAGACCCACATGGAACTATGGGATAAGCTTTTTCTATAGTTTCTTTCTTCTTGGAGTTTGTGTGTAGTCGGCGATATAGTCGTCCGCTACCACCCACTCTCCTGGTTTTTTCCATCCAGCTCATCACTTTGGCCAGGTTGGATGCGCTATCGCCTGCTTAAACCGTTTATTATACCTGCTCTTACCCTCTCTTTCTTTCAACACACCAAAGAATCAGACGTGGTATTTTTGTGCCTGCTCTACTAGACAAACGTATGCGCCGGTTATGATCATCTTGAGCGGAGAGCCCCCAAGGCCCCAAATGAAATCAAGGCGTTGGAGGACGGTCCACTATTGTCACCTTGTCCTCGATGCAGGAGGATCAGCAATTCGATCGATTATAGTCACACCCTGCGACCGCTGCTACTCCAGTCCCTCGTAACACTCTGCTTAGGGCCCTCGCTGAGCGAGACATAAAACCATTACGGGTGCCATACGAAGAGGGGTTCTCCACTGTTTTCTAGCTGGGCTAACAGCTGGATTTCTGATGCTTACCATTCCTATATCGAACGATATTGGGATGAAACAATTACTATACGTCGAGTAGTGTATCTGAACTCAAGCTTGAGACA